TTGGTTGGAAAATTAAAGTTTGGAATATTATTGTTTATGAACCACATATTTATTTGTGGCATGTTAGAGAACATGTTTAATTAAACTAAATGTTTAATTTGGTTTGGAATAATGAAAAGGAAATTTATTATGGTTCATATAATTTTTATTGATGCTATAAGTATGAGGAATAAGGAGCTATTTGAGTGTCTTTGTACACGAGGAGTAAATTATATTATGGTGCCTTAGTGCCCTTAAGGTGTTTTCAACACCGATGGATAGGATTTGTGGCGCATTATGCGTTTAAGGTGTCTTTGACACCAAGGTAGATTTAAAAAGGGTTCAACATTAAATATTATGTGGTCACTAATTAATCAATAATTAAATTGGTATGTTTGATTTTTTGAATAATTATTATGATTGAATGATTATGGTTTGAGAGTCATCACCAAGTTTAATAATATGTAAATAACGTAAAGTGAAAGAGATTACGCACCAAAACTCTTGGAACGTATATACCTTGAGTATGAACATATGGGGGGAGTTATGGGGGTTATATTTAACCATAACTTCTACTAGAGTACATGACGCTGTACATTCCTTTTATTATTATTATGCGAGTGGTTATTGATGCCGGCACGGTTAGCTCCTGTGTCAGTAACCTCAATTTATTGGGGAAGGCTAGTGGGAAACCCGTTCGATGCGTAATCAACGCTAAATAAATAATGTAGTTGTCTAGTTGAGAAGTTTTGTTGAATGTTGTATGCTTGAAAAACATATGCAACAAGGTAAGTTGTGTGTTGATAGGTAAATGCATGTTGGTGTGTTAATTACGCTTATGTACTCAGCTTTGCTGATTGTGTGTTTTTTGGCCTTGTTTTTATCTTGGCCCTATGATGACCCATTTTAATGGAGAGTAGTGGAAACAAGTAAAGCGAAGCTTTTCAGGTGATGAAGCATATTCATGAATGGGCATGAGTGAAGAGCGAATCATGCTAGTTTTCATAAGTATATGCATGACTAACGCAAAAAGTTTTGGAATTTGGTTTGGTTTTAACGAGCAATTTCCTATTTGTATCTCTTTGCACCATTCCCATCCCAAGGTACGGAATAATTTATGTTGAATAACTAAGGCTTAACTAACGAGGCTCAAAAGGGCTGCCAAAAGGATGGATTTTTTCTAAGGTTAAGAACATGGGATTATTTTTGTGGAGTTTCAAGTTGCCTCCTGTGTTGGTGAAACCATCATATCCTTTCTTTGTGGGCCTAATATGGGCCTCTTTTCATTCAATACATCTTGTAAGCCAAAGCTCATCAAGATTCTTAAAGTGTTGAGTATGTATGCCTTTTGATATTGCCTGTTTGAATGTATACATTTTATTTAATTCGAGTCATTAACAATAAAGAGATTGAAAAGAGAACAAGATAGACGTAGTTGCAAATATATTTTTTATTCATTAATTAATGAGAGTACAAAATAAGTAAATTCGACAGCTTGAATCTCTTAGTCTATCATAAAAAAACAAAGGAAAGAAACAAAACAAGACCTAGGGTGCTACATCTTGAATTGTTGACAACTTCTTGAGATTGCGTCTTCGAGCTTTGTCCGTTTCCAACGTAGGTGAAATCCTCTCTAAAAGCCAAGTTCATCTAAATGATTCATGGTTTCATTTATCAAGTCCCTTTCAATTAATGTTCCCACAGTATATACTTTTTGAAATGTGTCTAAACCAAGGTATTGTAAATGGCACTTGTATGGAGGAGACATATTGTCTATAAACTTTGGGACAAGTTTATGATCCAGAGGTCTTTGTGAAATAAGAGTAACCTTTGATCGCCACCTGGAAAAGAAGTCAATGAAGCCTTCTACTTCCCCTTGCTTAAGCAATTCGAGATCGCGCAAGGTAGTTGTGAGCTCAATGTTATCTCCATATTAGGTTAAAAACGCTTTTACAACGTCACTCCAAATGGAAGTTTGTTTTGCATCGAGGTTATAAAACCATGATCTAGCAGTTGGGTCCAATGAAAGAGGAAAAGTACATGCATATAGGATTGGCTCAACCCCTTTCAATGCCATAATTCCAATAAAGCTCATTAAGTGAGTCCTAGGATTGTCTATAACCTTAAAGGTTGGCAAATCCGTAGTCAAGAACTATTCTAGGAGAGTCTTGCCACTAGGTTGTGGTGCAAGCTCATAATTGAAGTACTTATTCCCTGAGTTAGCTCGAAGGACAAGTTTCTTCAAGCCCTTTACTCTTTCGGCTCTTACTTTTTCTTGTAGAATGTTTTCTTTTTCTGCTTTTATTTTAGCCTTTTCTGCTTTTTTATGAGCCTTCATTTGGGCTTCTTCTTCTCGTAGGGCCTTTAGGTTTTGGAGTTCCTCTCTAAGTTTCTCCAATGCTGTTTTGTCACCCATGATTGGACTAGTATGCGAATGTGGAAGATGATCTAGTAATGTGTATCACAAGAAATTGAGCGCGTTCACTTAAACCTTTTCTCCCAAGCATTCAAACAATGAATCAAAGTCAAAAGGATTGTTTTTTTTTTTTTTTTTTTTTTTTTTTTTTTTTTTTTTTTAAAAAAATCCTTGCAATACGAATTCACTTTAAGCAAGTTTGTTGATGAAGAATGTCAAAAAATTCACGAACAATCATTAACGGAACGTCGTCATGATTTGTGTTGACTTCAACAAGGTAATCATATAAGGATTTTACTTTAAATGAATTGTTTTCGAAAAAGGTAGAAGAGAAAGACAAGAAAGTTGGATTGAAAATGCTAATCAAATTTTAGGAATATTAATCAACCCGAACATACTCCTTAAAATGATCAAATATACTTTGATATTGTTGATCACTTAGATTGCAGTAGAGATCTATATCATTTTTTTTTTTCAATTATGATTCTCATATTGCTCATCTTTAAAGGATAATATTTTACTATTTGCTTAAAAAGAATGATGGTCTCCGAATGTAAAATCCAAGAAATAATTAAATCATTTTCTCGGTTTTATCATTCATTATCTTCTCTCTCTCTTTTTTTTTTTTTTGAGAATTATAATATTTTTTTTTTGTATCATACTTTTTTTTTTAAAGAACAATTTTTTTTTTTTTCGTTCTATTTCTCTCTTTTTTTTGTGTGAGGCAAACATCCTAAGTAAGGCTCTCGGGATTTTCTTTTTAAACCATATATAGAAGAGGTAAATAAATTATACTCTTAAATCAAGGTTGATCAATTACAACTAAAACATGATGAATGAAAAAATAGGCACGTTTAAGAATAACATATTGATGACGTCCTATTAATGGATGCGAACTCTAATGACGATCCTCATAAGAAGTAATGTCATTAGTTCAATTATAAAGTACGTAAACGAATCATTATAAAAAAATAGTATTGCGCGCAATTTCCGTCTTGCGCTAAGGTGGAAGGTGTATCTTCAAGAGTAGCATCTGCCACATGCATTTTTTTTTATTTTTTTTTTGCGAAAACGCAAAAAAAAAAAAAAAAAAAGATGAAAAATTTTTTGATTTTTTTTTGAAAAAAACGAAAAACGACGATCAAAGTAAATGTAACTAAGTTAGACAACGTTGTTAGCCAAAGAGATATTTTTAATACCTACTTAACGATTAACCTTGAAGCGGTAATATCGTTTTCTCCGTATGATATTACTCGTGTCGAGTCAAAATCAACGTTAAACAGTGGGCGCGCGTAAGACACAGAGTTGCATGGAGGTGCCCCGCGAAATTTCTGAACTTGCGCTTGGAGGGCGCACGCAACTTTGACAGTTGCGCGTGCCACCTGGTAGGTTCGACAATTTTTCAAATTTTTTTGGTTCCATTTTTTTTTTTTTTTTTTGTCGAAGTGCAGACAACATTTTTTTTTTGTCAATCCATAATTTTCGCGTATTTTTTTAATTATATCTCTAAATAACAAGTTGGAATTAGTTAGATTAGACACGAATCATATATTCATGTAGTCACAAAGCACATAAAAGGAACCGTCAAAGCATACAATGCCATTCTAAGGTCAAGGCTTGGGTGTCCAAAGGTACCATATCTTAAGGGACGATGCACGAATCAATCAGTCAACGTGTTGACTCATGACATAGCCATCCCAACAGTTTGTTGGCAATTTGGGTGGGATGATTGTTATTGATTTCGGGATGGAAGCCTAGTGTTGGCAACCCCTAGTCAATGAGCCAATCCTCAAAGGTTAAAGTGTGCTATGATTATGAATGATGCAATGTTGCTTGTTTGGTTTTTACTTTTGTGAAAAAGGAAGATATTATGTGTTCGAGTCTCGCTCTTTAACTAGAGATTATCCAAGTCAATTCTCGTTACAATCCCATGTATGTTTCCCTTCATACATGAGATTATCCAAGTTAATTCTCGTTACAAGATTAGTTCGTAGTTATGGTTCGTAGTTATGGTTCAAGGTTTCCCTTTGTTTTATATATTGACACTATAATTATATTAGATTCGAAAATGTAATGGCACGAGATCTAAAATAGTATTCCCTTTGTTTTCTTTTATTTGCATCAGTTTGACCGGTACATTTGCTGAGATGCAACTTTGACCATTAATATATTTAATTGTTAATTAGTAAAAATTATAACAAAACTATATTATGAAACTAGACATTATGACGAATCTAATAGTACATTATATAATAACCTTTATTTATTTAATTTTTTTTTATGCAAATTTATTTATTTTATTGAGGTGATTTAATCAAGTCAACCTTATTATGTGAATAGTGCAAAAATCAAGGTGATGCATTCAAAAAACGGAGGAAGTAAAACACAAAATGTAATCTTAAATTCAAAACCGAGTGAATAATCATTTAAAAAAAAATGATTATACGTTACTTCTCTTCTAATCTAAATCAAATCTAAATCAACTTGTGCCAATCAACACTAGCATAGACATCAAAGTAGTAGAGACCCCAAACCATACAATATACAATAGTTTATTAGATTCTTAATTGTACAATATTAATTTATTATCATCATCATTATTATTTTTGATATTGACTATTGAAAATTAAAAATGAAAGCAAAGCAATGATGCCATAATTTTTCTAACAAAAGAAAGCCAGCGAAAATCAAAAAAAAAAAAAAAAAAAAAAAAAACCCACCCAACTCAACCCAACCCAACTGTTCCAGAATACAGACTTTTTTTTTTTTGGCTTTTCCCACCTCTTCACCAAAATTCTTTTTCTCTCTCTTCAACCTTCATTCTCCATCTTCTTCTTCCTTTTTTCTTCAGTAGCAGATTCATTTCTAGAGAGAGAATTTTAGACAGATAAAGTCGGCGATCTCTGTGGAGTAGAGAGAGAAAGCTCGATAGTGATTATTAATGGCGACTTTAACATGGCGGAAAGCTTACGGTGCCATTAAAGACCACACCAAAGTCGGTCTTGCTACAATTAACAGTGATTATAAGGTTTTTCATTTTCTTCCCCCTTTTTTTTCGTATTTTTGCCTTAATTTTCCGAATTTTTTGAGTCTAATTTTTGCCTATTTTTGTGCGATACTAGGATTTGGATGTTGCGGTTGTTAAGGCAACGAATCATGTCGAATGTCCGCCAAAAGAGAGGCATCTTAGAAGTGAGTAGAATTACATATATATATATATATTTTTTTTTTTTTGTAATATTTGAAGTTTTTTTTTTTTTTTTGGTAGATCCGTTTTTAGTGGATTGGGAATTTGTTGATGTTTGGTAATTTATTTCAGAGATTTTGCTTGCTACATCTGCAATTAGGCCTAGGGCTGATGTTGCGTATTGCCTTCATGCTCTTGCTCGCCGATTAGGCAAGACTCGTAATTGGACGGTACTGTCTTTATTTTTTAATTAGTATCATATAATCATGATTTTGTCAAGTGTATTTAAATTATTCTTTGTTTGCTTGCATATTTTACGTATTGTTTACTGGTTCTCGTTTTATGACCGTTTCTCTGTAAATTAAGAAATGAAATGATACCTCTTGCTCACTCGGCGATGAATTTTGGGCGAATTTAATTAGTTTTTGCTATGAATTAGTATTATTGTTGTCGAGACTGAGTTTTGTTGGTTCATCATATTGATTTTGATTAGTGTCAGTGATGTAAACTTTTACAACATATTATGCGAAAGCCAGGGTTTTTAATTTCGAGAGGTTCTTTTGTTTGCAGGGGGAATGTAGTCTGCCTTAAAAAGAATTGTAGGATCGGATATTGTATGTCTTTTATTATTTTGTTCGAACACTTTTTTTTTTTTTTCGTATGTTTTAAATTTATTGGAACACTTCCTATTTGGAAAATAATCCATTAATAGGGCCCCAGTTCCTCTCACATTCTATTAAAGAAAACCCCTATCTCACATCACATTTACTTTCCTATTAAATAATAATTGATAACATTTCAACAACTTAACACGTAAAACATTCTGCTCATACAAAATTTTGAACTATTGGCACTCCTTAAGATTTTGCACTGGGTTATGCAAATTTATTTCTCTGTTCCATTTTGGTGATTTTATCTACTCCTCTATCTTCATGCTTTTCTAAGGTTGGGTGGTACCCATGTTGCATCGTGCATGTTCTTTCATGAGCGGGCTTATCACTTGTCAAAAGAAAATGTGTTGGGCATCTATGGATTATTTAATTTATAGCCTTTTTTCTAAATTTAGCAAATTTATTGTTATCTAGTTATAATAGTTTTTTCTATTACCTAATGCATCCATACTTGTCTTTTAGATTTAGTTATTTGATATTGGAATTAAGATGGATCCATTTATTATATTGATTCATCTTGGACCTTTTCTATTTATCCTTGGTGCACTTTACTTTTTTGATGTCAAAGTTTGTAATCTTTGATAGAGTATTTCCATTCATACAAACATCAAAATATTAATGTGCGTGGTGTTTTTTGATTTGTCTCAATGAGTATTCTAAGGGTAATAAATTTTATTATTCATAGGCATTAGTGAAACGAAGGTAAATTTACTTGCAAGCTTCTGTAGGCTTCTGTCTTGTATGTAGTAATGGAAATTTAATTAGCAGAGAGGTCTTAGACCAGGTCTGTCCTGCTCTCTGCGTTGAAGAAGGTGATCAGCAAAGGGAGGGGATTTAGGTGGTTGTTTGGCTCTTTGGGGGTTTTGTTTAGTTTGGGGTTGAGCCTGTTTACAGGTTTTTAACTTTGTACATTTGTACAGTTTTTTGGCTTTTAATATATCTCTTACTTTCCAAAAAAAAAAAAAAAGAAATTTAATATTGCTTGTTGCACCACTTCATGTTGCCTTTGATCACAAATAAGGAAACAAACCACAGTCGCGATTTGTTGATGTGGCATCTCATGGATTCTTGTTGTAAATTGACGTAATAGAAATTATTCAATTTTGTCATTAGTTGCAGCATATCTCTACACTACTGTTCAAAATATACTTTTTTATCTCTTAGGATATTGTTTTGTTGTTCAGTATGGAGTTGAAGGTGTTTTAACTGTATAGTGACTATATTGTGAGTGTAAAATTTTTGAATTTAATTGCCTGTTGATGTTTAATGGTTTTAATATTGGATTAAGATGTTTGATACCATTACATTTCAATCTTTATTGAAGTTTAACACTCTATACTATATACACGGCATGATTATAATATACTATAACCTAAGCATATCATGGATCAACAAGTTGTGAATTTATCATAGAACGGCATCTTGCCATCTTCATAATTTAGGGTCCTTGATTTAACTCCATGGTATTGAACTGCTGATCGATTAACTAATTGTCATTTCCTTTTTTCTGTGAGCTTTGGGCCCGTGAGATAAAGCATGATCTATTTACCATTTTTTTCTATGCTACATTGCTACAGCTATATACGAAGTATGTGACAGATCTGAACTTCACCACATTTGCTGTATTACTTTTTGTTGGGAAAGAATCCATTGATTTGGTTACTGATGAACATAATGTGTACATGCATACTTGTCCTGGTTTATGATTTTGTTGGGAGAACCTTAGCTGTATGCTATAGTTTATGATGCATAGACTTATGAGGATTCTTGTGTTGTTTTTTCCCCACCTTAATGAACAGGTTGCATTGAAAACTTTGATAGTTGTCCATAGGCTGTTGAGAGAGGGTGATCCAACTTTTAGGGAAGAACTTCTTGGTTTCTCACAACGTGGGCGTGTACTGCAACTCTCCAATTTCAAGGATGACTCGAGTCCAATCGGTTGTCCTTTAATCTTTTATCTCTTTCTTGGTTATGCTTGTTCACTCTTTTTTTTGCATGTTACATTATCTTATGTAGTTTTATAATTGAAAATTGCAGCTTGGGATTGCTCTGGTTGGGTTCGTACTTATGCACTTTTCTTAGAGGAACGGCTTGAGTGTTTCAGAGTTCTAAAATATGATATTGAAGCTGAGCGTCTACCAAAACCTGCTGATGGGCAGGAGAAGGTGTGTATTTTTTCACTTTTTTCTTTTTAAATTTTAGTTAATTTTTTTCAACTTATCACTTTGTTTTAATTGGAAAATATTAGAATATGTTAAATGTGTTATAGCTGATGGAACCATTACATATTGGCTAGACACTCAAACGCATTGCTGACTTAAAATTAGCTGGCCTGATTAATGGGTTGTATTTACAGGCAGATTTATGCAAGTTATGCCATTTCATAGCATTTGTCTTTTTAGAAATTTTGATGCTATAGATAACCTCAATACCTAATGCTGTTTAAGAATAGTTGGTGATGGTTTTGAAGCTTGGATTATGAGTAGATGCTACAGTGTGCCATGAGGAATGAGGACTCCTTAGTTTGAATGAAAGTCTTAGGTTTGTTAGGCTCTAGGCACTTTGAAGGGCATAGGGTTCCTAAAGATCAGATGTGAGGTATGAGATGTAGGCATGCCATTTACATTTGAGAATCGTTTCTTCCTTAAATTCGGGATTAATCCTTTTTTATTATATACTTCCTCCGTTTTTTATTGGATACATCACTTTCTAAAAATAGAATTTTCAATTTAGATACATCACTTAACTTTCTAGTTAATTAATTCTCTCTATCTCTCTCCTATCACATGGTCTCTCTTTATTTTTTCTCTTTATCTCTCTCTACTCCAAAAATTGCCTAGGAGTCCGCAATTACATAATTGATACAACTAAAAAAAACAGAGGAAGTATTTTTATTTTTTTAACTAAATTATGTGGAATAAGTAAACTATTGCTACATATAAAATTTGTATACTACTCACACTAGTAAGAGAAATTGTGTCTATGGGTTTTGGCTGAGTGTGACTCTTGTCTTCTCCCTTTAGTTAAGGAAAATGAATTGCTATTTGCTAAAAAAAATAAAATAAATCAGAAAAAAAATAGGAAAAAAAAGGTAAAACCGCAATAAGCAACGGCATTATTGTCCCCCTCCTCTCTCCTCTCCCAATCCACTGCACAACCACCACCTATACTGCTACCTAACCTACACCCTTACATAGGCCACTGCAAGTGCCACTTGACCAATCTTTGCTCTCACTGCTACCTGACCAACTATCGTTGCTGCTGCCAGCCTGCCACTGCCACTTTACCAAACATTGGCCCACATCGCCTTACTAGCCTCCACTACTTGTCTTACCTGACAGATTGAGTCCTACTTAACCAGCCATCAAGAGTCAACCACCCCACTGAAACATCTACCACCACCAAACCAATCACCTTGACCACCAAAACGTGGTGGGGCCTCTGAAATCTGTCTCTTCCATTGGAGGAGGTGGAATTCAGAGACACTACCCCATATTGTTTGTTGGAATAGGCTGAGTTGCGGTGTTGGTCAGGTGAAGTGGGGTTGGCGATGGTAGTGGTGTTGGCTGGGTGGGTTCCTTGGTTGGTTGGTGAGAGTCTAAAGAGGGGAGAGACAAAAATGTCCTTAGACATGTGGTACGAGTGATGTTCCTCTGGAAATTGCAACATCCTAAGGAAGTTTTGTGTAACACTGTAAAGTAGATACGCAATGCTGCCCATGGCTCATGTATTGGCCATACCCTTGTAATTTCTTGGCTTTTGTATTTTCAAAGGTCAAAAATAGAGAAAAAATGACATTGAAGCTGAGAATTGATAAGAAGTCCTCAAAAGCTGGAGAAAAATTGAAATAATGAGTAGAACAATTAGAAGGGCTGGAAACAAAATAGAATCATTCCAAAGAAGTTAAACTCTCATGGTTTCCTTGTTGTCACCACAAACTAGTTTCTCTAGTGCTCTAAACCAGAGGATCTGAAGAAGGGAGGGCATAGTAGATGTGTGAAAACGTGAGGAGGGAAAAATTTAGAGAAAGGACACAAAGTCTGTTATGACTCCGAGAGCAAGCCTAGTATGCAAGTTTTCTTTATTTTGGTCCCATTCCTCCTTGTTCACAATAGAAGCATAATGTTTTGGAACTTTGCCCATGGCTTACTCTACCTTCTTTCCGCTAGGTGAGCCATGAATGCAGTGTTGTTCACATCATTATCCTTGCTGTTCCTTTTTTTTTTCTTTTTTTTTTTGCTATGTACTCAGGCCATCCCTGTGGTGCCCTATTCTTCACTCCTCAGCATTCCTTAGGCGCACTTTTTTGAGACTAAGGTTTGAGGAAAGATGTCACCAGAAAGGCATAGTCCCGTTATTGGACCTAGCATGGGAAATTGTATCATGTTTTTGTAGTCATAATCTCATATGGTGACGCTAGCCAGGTTTATCCACAAAATTATTATCAGTAAATTAGTGTGAGTTATTAATGTGTTGTATATTGTATAAAACCTCATATTTTTAAATTTTTTTTTTTGTACTTGAGAAATACTTGCTTAGCTTTGCTGTTTAAATCGTTTACAGGGTTACAGTAGAACCAGGGATCTGGATTCAGAGGAACTTTTGGAGCAGTTGCCAGCCTTACAGCAGTTACTCTATCGTCTTATTGGATGCCGGGTATTTGGTTTCTCCTCTTTTAATTTTCTCCTGATTAATTTTATGTTTAATTTTTCTTGACTTTTTAATTTCTCATAACAGCCAGAAGGTGCTGCTCTTGGAAATTATGTGATACAGTATGCACTTGCTTTGGTATGTAAAAACCCATCTATTGATTTATTGATCTTTTTTACTGCTTTTCTAAGCTTGAGGTGCTGGCTTCTGTTGGATACTTCCATTAATGTAGTTACAATTGTCTGTCCACCAATATTTTGGAATTCTTTTTGTAAATTTTATGATGCTTGAATTCTTTTTGTAATTTATGCTTTAGAAGACATTTTGTTGTTTTATGTGCCCTTATGCTATTAAATTGAAAATACTCGAAAATCTGATAGTATTTTGAGCTTGGTTCTCAAACTTGTGGTATGCATTAATTAGAAGCTCATCACTTGAGTATTCATGAGCTATTCTTAAGCTTTTATGGAGCTAGAATATTAGATTATGGGTATGCCAGATTATCAGGTTATGATTGATGATGTGAGAGAATGAAACCTATGCGAGTTTACATTCATGACAGTGGTGTATACAAATGTTGTTGAATAGTCTATATTGAACGAGGAAATAAATATTGGTAAGATAAGAAAGCAACGTATTTTATTGGCTGCATTGTTGTTGCTTGCTGGCGTCTTGTTTGTATTACCTGCTGACTTGGGCCATATAACTATAGCCAACTTCTTTATTGCTATCTGGTGTTGGTATCTATATTGCTCACAACATCATGTTGCTATGGTCCTGGTTTTGAATTATAATTTATCATAGCAAAATAATGCTATACGTATATATGTTTAAAGCATTTTTGTAAGTTTCAGCATTTAACACTACATTGGCCTTTACTCTTTAAGCTTGACCTGTATTCTTTGTATAATATGGGGCTTGTCTGTTGTTTAAGCGTTTTATGGACAGCCATTATCTGACCTAACTACCTAAGTAATGTTAATGAGTTGGTTAATCTCTAGAAGAGTGTACTAAAGGTTACCTTTTAACTTTTGTTAAGGTCAACTCTTCCCCATCAAGGTTACCCATGAATCTCACCTCATTAAAAGTCAACTTTGTTTCACATTCCACCCATCTTATTTAGAAGCCTTGATCCGGAGATCTGTGATTAGCTGAGCAGTTAAATATATAACTAGTAATTTGCAAGTTGCTACACTGTCAGATTTGGGTTCTCAGTTACATACTTGCATATTCCCTGTCCCTCTGTCTCTCTCTCTCTTACTTTTTAAATGCTACGTATGATTATCTGGTACCAAGATTATTATATAAATTATAGTTGTTTGACTCTTAATCATCTTTGCATTTGACATTTATTTGCTCTCTGAATCATCCCACTTAGAGGAATTATTGGTTCTTTCTTGTTACAGGTTCTTAAGGAAAGTTTCAAAATATATTGTGCCATTAATGATGGTATTATTAATTTGGTTGATAAGGTAAATTGGATTTTTACTTATATCACATATTTTAAGGCACTTGTGCAAACAAGTCACACTGAATTTCAAGTTTTCTTGTGGCAGTTTTTTGAAATGCCAAGACATGAAGCTGTGAAAGCCCTTGAAATCTATAGAAGAGCTGGCCAGCAGGTGATGATAATTGATAATTACAGCTTCCTAATTGTTATTGTTTATAGTAGTGCTTCTTAGAGCACTCTCTCTTTCTCTCTCTCCTCTTTTATTTTTATTTTTTATGGATAAAACGATATTATTAATTAGCTTTTGCTGTTTGAACTAATCTTGGGAGCCTGCTGACGTTTTACCTTCTACCATACTATAACTTGTTTGCTTTATGGTTATTATAGAGAGGAATGTATATGAAGGGATTAGGAATGGCCAGATGGCTTTGTTTATGAAAATTTCTATCTGATATTTTAGGTAAAAATTAATGACGCAAGTTAATAGACAAAAACTTTATGAATATAAATGCACTAATTGGGGACTAAGCTCGATTATTTTACTGAGTCAAGTATTATATGTAAAACTATCTTGAAATTTCAATGCAGGCTACAAGTCTCTCCGAGTTTTATGAGGTTTGTAAAGGATTGGAACTTGCTCGAAACTTCCAGTTTCCTGTTTTGAGAGAGGTAATTATTAGTGATACAGGTTTTGTTAAGTGTAGTTATTTGGGTGATGATTTGTTTGATGATGTTAGTTATGGTGGCTATATGTTCTATCTTACTTTTGCAGCCACCACAATCGTTTCTTGCAACCATGGATGAGTATATCAGAGAGGCACCTAAGATGGTAGATTTGCCAGCACAGCAGCTGGTATGTTTGACTTCTAAATTGCAGATAAATTTTGTATTTATACCCTATCATGTAGAAAAAAAAATTATCATGTTAGCTTGATATTGATTAACCTTTTTTGTCCATAATATTGAATCAGGAATTCCCGGAAAGGCTTTTACTGACATACAAACCTGAGGAAAACTCTCTTTCTGAAGATGATAAATCAACTGTTGAAGATCCTCAACCAGTGGCTTCAGATGATTTGACATCTAGTGCTGAAGCTGCTCCTGCTACTACTGAAGCTCCTCCACCTGCTATGAATATGGACTCTGGCGATCTACTGGTATGTCACTCCTTGATTAGGATGTTATATTTTACTGATGAGATGGCTCCATATGATTGAGTAAAAGTTATTTAACATTTAATATAAAAAAAAGTTTACCTGAGTTTTTATCTATCTTGAGTAAGGTCTATTTTGTTCTGCACTTTCTTCATGGAGTCAAAGAGGAAAGTCATGTTTGATGTGGAAAATTTGAATGCTTTGTAATTATTATTAAGTTTGTGGGGGAAAAATTGTTGAGCTGTCAATCTCTGACACAACACTACAGCACGACCGAAGCTGTTACTGAAAGAAAATATGAAGTCAACACGACACAAAACCAACCCAAACACGACTTGTTTAGATAAAGTGGTCAAATTATGCATTATCCTAAATTTTACATAGTTTTGATAGATTTTGTGAACGGCATGAAATTGACACGAGACCAAACATAAACACAACATGACATGACTTTTTGACAGCAAAAAAAAATTGTGTGTGTGTGTTATTTTTTCCTATCTCGGGGGAAAGCCCTTTACCTTGAAAGCATCCTTTAAAGAGAATAAAATGTTCTACAATATAGTAAGTATAAAAGCAAAACCACAAACCATTAAAATAAAATTACAAAGTGATCGAGTAACATTTCAAAAGCTGCTCTTGTGGAGATCTGGTGATTGTTATGTTGCCCGGACTCGGGTACTGCTTTCTCACGAGTACGTGTCCCATCATACTACTCGCCTGTTTTGTGATAAATTTTCACGGTTTTGGCTTAATATAGAAGTTTGAAGTGTTTTATTTATGCCTTAGTGTTGAGAATTAGACACATATACTTTATCTAAGATGAAGATTATGAGTAACATTGTTTGTTTTTAAAAAACAATTAGTAGCAACCTGAGCAACTCTGAAATCATCAAAATCACCTCCAAGTGGCTAAAGCATGCATGAGTGCATGCCGCATACAACTGAACATCTGTGAATGATCACCAGTCTAATAGGCTAATAGCTCTTTAAGGAGAGCTGACTTGAGGGCCGGCATTAGTATTGGCACATAAAGGGGCTGAAATTGGTGGGCGGAAGTTTTAGTGAACTGTGCCCAGTATTGGACCACCAACACAGCATAGATGCTTGACATACACAAAAACCAGTGATCTGGTGTCAAAATAAAGCTTGAAGAACTTTGTGAGACTATCTGAGAGATAAAAATTTTCACAACCTTGAAAAGCCAAATATGGACAGAAAGTTCCTAAAAAAATGCCAAGTTTAAGCAATAGAGGTCAATATGCGATTATGCGGTAGCTTGGGTTTCTTTCTATTTATCCATCCAAAAGAAAAAAAAAAAAAAAAAAAAAAAATTTATCCTATAATCATATGCAATCATTAATGCTTCTGAAATCATTTTATCAGATGAAACCATAGTGTACATATATATATGTGGAAAAAAGGGAATATGAGGGATGAGTGGAGATAAATTTGAATATCAAACTAACATGTACCTTCTTGCATGCAATTGACACCGTGCTATTCTTTGGCTCCCTGATTTTTGCTGTCATAATTATTAGTTTTCTGACTTCAGGGGTTGAATGATGTTACACCTGATGCAACAGCCATTGAGGAAAGTAATGCGTTGGCGTTGGCCATAGTGTCATCAGGTAAATTTCCGTGTTTTTTTCTTCTTACTTCTATGTATTTCTGTTTGTTCCTTTTATTTTTGGAAAACTAATGTCCATATTTTTTTATTTGGATTGGAATGAGAAGATGCTGCTTCAACCTCCAATTCTGGCACTGCTTCAACCAATTTCGATCCATCTGGCTGGGAACTTGCTTTGGTCACAACTCCAAGCACTGACATTTCTACTCATACTGAGAGGCAACTGGTATGTGGTATCCTTCTGTAGCATCGCTGGTTTTTATAGCTTAAAATTTGCATAAACTTTTGAAGGAACGAATCGTTGAGGAAGCTAGAGCAAGTAGTGTGTATTTAACTTATCTAGCAGGAAGATATTAATTGTGTTTTTCTTTTCACCTTGAGAAGCTATATCCTTCTGAGTTCATTGATGATGCATGATGCTCTCTCTCAGTGCTTCTGTCTTAGTATGCCCATGTTTCTTGAGTTTGGGATGAATGTCTAACACTAATGTCAATATAAAATATTTGGCCTACTATATAAATCTTAAAGATGAATGTCAAAGACATTGTTTTTAACTAGGGATATGGTTAAATAGAAGGTAAAATATCAATCCCTGAACATTTTGACATATTATATAAATTTCCGTGAGTTAAAGGATGCGAGCTAAATTACAAATGTAAACTTTTTCTTACAGGTATTGTTTGCTTGTTTATTTCAAGTTTTTGTTGAATTCTGTTTATGTGGTGTATTTCAAGTGTTACTTCCTGTGGTGTTTTGGGTGGTTGCCTTGAAATAAAAAAAGAAGATAGAGATTGCTACATATACTAATAACCATTTTTTGCTGTATGTTGAGATAAGTATTAAAAGGATTTTTGTTTCAGTTGTGGGACTTCCAAAATCTCTTACAATCCTTTCTTATGTATTGTAGATAAGATATTTTTGCTAAAAAAATTTAGGAAAAATTGACATTTACTACCGGCGAAAGTACCTTGTGTTACATTTGCTACCCGTTTAATTTTTTATTTTATTTTGCTACCACCTAAAATCAAATAATTAAAATTTCAATACCACTTAACGGAATCTGTTAAGGTTCCGTTAAGTTTATTCCAAAAAAAAAAAAAAAAAAAAAAAACCCAGCCACTCTTCCCCCTGCCGGCGCCCGACGTCCAGATCTTTGGCCGGCACCGGCGCGAATCCACCCCCCTCCCTTTCCCCTACCCTACGCAACCCCCCTTTTCCCTTTTTCCACTCGAACCAAAACCACCCCCCTTTCCCCTTCCCCCCACCGGGATCTGCCCCCCGAAATCGACCCCCCTCCCCTTCTCCCTACCCTTTTTCGGCCTTCCCTAACACTAAACCACCACCCTAAAACCACCATAAGCAAAACCCTAAATTCGTTTTGGGTGGTGGTTTAGGGTTAGGGAAGGCAGAAAAGGGGAGGGGGGTCGATTTCGGTGGGGGAACGGGGCTGGGGGGCGGATTCCGGTGGGGGGAAGGGGAAAGGGGGGTGGTTTTGGTTCGGGGTGGGGGTCGGGGATGCGTAGGGGGTGGGGGGCTGCGTAGGGCGGAAAGGGAGGGGGGTGGCGGCGCCGGCAGGGGAGGTTGGCAGTGAGGGTGGGGGATGGGGAGGGGGTGGCAGTTGAGGGGAGGGGTGGCGGCAAGGTGGTTGAAACGGTGGCTAAACCCAACTAACGGAAATAGTAACGGTGTAAGTCAGTTGGTAGTGAAATAAATATTGTAGAGATTTGGGTGGTAGCAAAATAAAATAAAAAATTAAACGGTAGCAAATGTAACACAAGGTACTTTCGCCGGTAGCAAATGTCAATTTTTCCAAAAATTTAGGTATTTTATACATCAATTTTCAAATTTTATATCTGGATTTTATGCTATGATCAATATCGTTTGATAAGGATTGCTCTCTAATTAGCCTTTGGAAAGAGTGCTCTTTGCTAGAGTGCTTGGGTGGGGATTGGAACCTAGGTGAAGTAGAAATTCAGTTGGAAGAACCATTTTTCCAATAATGACTACATTTTCTACACTCAAATTCTATAATTTAGACTTTCCAAACATGTAATTAGGATTGGACCAGTTTGGCAAGAATTAGATGATGCAAATATGGAACTTGCAGATAGTTACTAGCCTACTATGGCTGCATGGAAATATGTCCTTGAAGTACGTATTTGTGCAAGCTTCTTGTTGAAAATCTTTACAATTTGATGCCATACTAAATTGAAAATTGGGGGGAAAATTCCTTGATGTTATTTGATTTTGTTGTGGTACCTTCCTGCGGTTCTATTTTTGTCTTGATTATACCTCACCGTGAATCACCTGACTTGGTTTATCATTAATGATCTCTTTTGCTGTGAAAGAGGCAATTGATCAATGATGTATATGAAGCTAGTGGCATTAATTTTTACTATGATTTATGTTAATAAATAATATAATGAGGATAGGTTATGATCATTGGATAGGGTACATTCATGTTTTTGTATGAGATTAAATGAGTGTGTGCATCTTCCTTTTACAACGCCATGTATGAATTTTATAGCATGATATTTTTTGTTTGTGGAGATAATACAATGCTACAGCTATTTGATACTATTGATAATATATCTTTCATTGTAGGCTGGTGGATTGGATTCACTCACACTGAATAGTTTGTACGATGAAGGAGCTTATAGAGCCAGCCAGCAGCCTGTTTATGGTGTACCATCAGCCCCCAATCCATTTGAAGTACATGATCCCTTTGCAATGTCCAACAACATTGCTCCTCCTGCTGCAGTTCAGATGAATTCTATGACTCAGCAACCGCCACACAATCCTTTTGGTCCTTATCAGGCTCCGTATCATGCACAGTCGCAGACACCTATGGGGCTTGGGGCACCAAATCCTTTTGGTGATGTAGGTTTTGGACCATATGCTGTTGCTCCTGTTAATCATCAACAAAATGCTGCTAATCCATTCGGGAATACAGGACTGCTGTAACCCTGATTAGATGCAATTGGCTTTTGGCACATATGATTTTGGTAAAGTGAGGCTATCAAAGTGATGTTAATATGTCATAGATTTTAGGTATGAGATGTCCATACGATGAAGGCATTTCTACACTGGATCTTCTTATAGTGTAAACCTATGAAAAAAGAGATTCATTAATCCTACTGATCAAGAGTAATAATTTTTATTCTTTCCTATCAAGATCCAAAATATGAGGATTGTATATTTTTATTATATGGGTTCGTGTGTAAAAATATGGTAAATGTAGGGACTCGCCATGAAGTGCTTTGTGAGGTGTAATATGTATCACTGATACTGCTGTACTTGAAATGTGTTACCGCATTCGTCTTTGTTCTGAAATATGCCTCCTTTTCTGTTTGGGTAGGCCTAATCAGTTGTTGTCATTGAAATGTTATAGAGTACATGTTCAGTTTCTCTCTCTTTTCTCACTCTATAGTCGTATCAAAATTGGTTTGTTTTTATATTCAAAACACCATTTTACATCCTGTTGGGGTAATGTCACCTTGGATATATTATAGTAATTGCAAGCTGGAAAGTTTGTTGTGTTATCTTAAGTCAAAGAGGCTGCTATAGAATTACAAACCACAAAGATTAGGTTTAGTCATTAAATTGTTACATCATTGATTGATCAAGGTAACCTCAGTTTTCAAACTCAACCCATGACCTCCGTGCTTTGCATCTCCGTTCAGGGCAATTTGGTGACCTTTTATACCACTTCACTTCTTTATACTCCTATTCTCTTCCCTCTCGACCTTCTAGTTCCATCCAACCTATGATTTTTCTCTCTTCACCTTTTTCTCACCTCCCACGGCAGTGGTATCCACCATGTTTCAAGTTGGCACAGCTGTTGAAGTCACCGCCATCCCAACATCAGCAGTCCTGGTTCTATTACAATCAAGCTCAAAAATGACATTGTTTTGTCGGATTCAACCTCTATGGCGATGTTGTACTTCACATTTCATGTTTGACAATTGTTAATGTCCATGGAGGGATTTTTCAAATATTTTACTTTCTCCGTTCTTTTTTTATTATTGCAACACTTGTCTTATTGACTAACAAGTCCATTATACCCCTTGATATCTTCCATATTATCTCCCCAATGATATACCTCTAAGGCTCTTAACTCCCTCTATATTAGGGTGCTTGACCTCTTTTTGTTTGAGGTTGACTTGGTATTACTAGGAATAGTCGATTTTGACGAATTCGGCAATTTCACAACCACAACGCGGAAGATCGCAAGGATGAACAAATTCCACGTGCATTTGTCAATCTACGCGTTCATAACTTGATACTGCTCTTTCAACACCTCACTATTGTCGTCGCTAACAACATTAAAAATTTAGTCAATTTCAATTTCAAGTCAACTCAACTTTTCTTGCTTTAACATCCCCCCTTATCAATTTTAACAAAATTCAGCTACCAATTTCTTTCATCAATTTATTTGTTTATTAATTTATTAACTGTGGAAAAGTCAGCCAACTTCTTCCTCAGAAACTTCAGATTTTCAACCTACTTTTAATATTTTTTTAATTTTTAGTTTTATTCCATTTCTATGGAATTTCATTGAATTTCTGAATCAAAATATGAAAACCATAGACTTCATCAAGAGCATGATGAATCCTTTTAAATTCTACTCTGATAAAGGTACCTACAAAAAAAAAAAAAAAAAAAAAAAAAGAAAAACCCTTTTTTTTTTTTTTTTTTTTTTTTTTTTTTTGTATATTGATTATTAAGATTAGTACTTCATTATTTGTGATCATAGCTTAATTTCTAAGTCTTTTGTATGTTTTTTTTTTTAATTGGGTATTTGTTAGAAGGTTCAAAAGAGGCAGATTTGCAGAAGATTGCAGCACAAGAGCAAAAACAATTTTCATATGAGACATTAATCAAAGCAACTGATAAATTTCATTCTTCTAACAAGCTTGGTGAAGGGGGTTTTGGTCCTGTTTTTAAGGTATGTTAGTTTTGTTTATTCAAGTACAAAATTTGGACCAATAAGTGATTCGGTAAGGGAGTTGTTTCAGCTTAACTAGAGGTTTCGGGTTCGAGCACAGGGAATGCTCCCCTGGGCTTGAACCTGGATCATCTGGATTACTGAGTAGGATATAGTTAAATAAAAATTAAGTATGTAAGGAAATTTTGATTGCTTAAAATAGAAATTTGGTTATACCCAAGTAGTGAAATTGGGAAATTTTTGTGGGTGTAGGGTAAATTGTTGGATGGAAGAGAGGTGGCAGTGAAAATGCTGTCACAGCATTCAAGGCAAGGGCAGAAAGAATTCGTCAATGAGGCAAAGTTGTTAGCTCGTGTACAACATAGAAATGTTGTGAATTTGTTGGGTTATTGTACACATGGTGAAGATAAACTCCTTGTTTATGAATACGTCTCCCACGAAAGCGTTGACAAGCTTCTATTCAGTAAGATTTTCTGCCAATTTGCAATGAATTTGTCTTGTGTTTAGGCTCCGTTTGGTTTGATGAGAAATTCTTAAAATGATTTTCATGGAAAACAATTTTTTAAAGAAGAATACAATTGCTAAGTAGTTTTCCCTTGTTTATTTTCTTAAACTATAAGTTATGGAGACAAGGAAACTAGGAGTGGAAGGGTGAGGATGATTGGATGAGAGGAAAGTGGTGGTAAGGAGGTGGGAGGAAAATATGGCTTCCACTTGCTTTCATTTCGAGAATCGAGATGATAATGCTTTCCATCCCCGAGAGTTATTTTCCACCATTGGGAAAATTGGTTTTTTTAACCCCTTTACAAACCAAACAAAAGAAAATGAGAATATGCATGGAAAAATAATTTTACTGATCCAACCAAGCACTCCTTGATTGTGAGGTAATTTTGTGATGGTTATTGTGGTTGTTAGTTGTCATTTTACTAGTTTGTATTATGACATTTCTTAACTACATTATGCTCATTGTATTTAAAAAATGTTTTGTTTATCAATACTCATCACAATTGAAGAAGTATTTAGTATGCTTTGAGCAATATACTAATTTGAAATGTTGGTTGGTATTGCTAATAAATTCAGGAAACTGGAATGTTTTCTTGGACATTCCCCATGCGACTCTTATATGGAGTAGTTTAGTTTGAGGGAGTATTTATATTATGGCCTTTAAAGGACATACTAATATGGTGATTGTGAAGGTGAACAGAGCAAAATATTTTTAAAAAAATACTCATATATCTCAACTGAAGCAATCTCTGTGAATAAGTGGGTAAAATCACAGCAAATACTCAAGTTTTATTCGGCACTAGTAATTGGTTATTTTCTAGGGAAACGGCTGATTCTTCCATCATTAGTATGACGGTAAAACCCATAATCCAGGTAACTTTTGGAAACTTGATTTGTTAGGGAAGGGTATACCATGGCTTGTCAATCTCCATTGCTGGACAGATGATGGAATGAATGTATCCAATGTTTCCAAGGCCAGTTTGGTTGGCATGTTCGTGTTATTGAGCAAAAGGCCTTTTTACGAGATCGCTTGCCTCTTTTGAGATCTTTTGGACCCTGTGTAGAGTTTGATCCAGGCTTAGGAGAGCTTATTTGAGATCTTTTGGACCCTGTGTAGAGTTCTCTAAGGTCATGAGGAGGTATTTGCAATAAAGGAGTTGTCGGAACAAGCAAAACACCCTTCAATAAACTTCCATAACCATGATATGTAGCATGCAGGAAGTCAGCATTGACACCCAAAGTTCATGCTGGGATACTCACGGACCTGTTTCCTTTTTGAAACAGGAATTTTTTTAATGACTTTTGATTTGAGCTGTTGGATGAAGCTTGAATGGTTCAGATTTAGTGTGAATGAGGTTTTTCTCTCTTCTTTGAGATGTTAGGCATATTTCTCCGCAAAGCATGCTCCTTAGTTGTTGATAATGTTTAGAATGACAAAACCTAAGCTCACGATTCAAATTTCAAAACAACCAGGTGAGCTTATGAATTAGATTCTTGTATCTCTGGTGTTTATCCTGGTTTAAGCTTCAACCTTAGCTTGTTCTTCTAAATTGATGAATTATTAATGAATCTTATGCCCTTGAAAAGTTTTCTTATGATATTAGATATTTAGATGATTACACTATATTATCTTGCTTAGCTTTTGTATAGATAGTTGTTTGACTGCTACAATTTGTTTCTGGGTATTGAATGCAATTATGGCCTTCAGATTATTCTCTTGGATTTTTTTGGAAGCCTTTGATAATTTTACCTTCAGTTGTATTCACATTTTGATCTTCATCTTTATGTCTAAAGACTCAAAACCCTTATGGATTATACCAATGCAAACTTGAAAGTGCCTCAATGAGAATGTACTTTAATAAAGAAAATTTGCAGTGTAATTGGTAAATTTGCTGATCATTTTACTTTTACACCTTTGCAAGCATGAACCTTTTACAAAGTAAATTATGCATAGAGTTCGGGAGAAGTAAAATATACATTGTTGAAAGCATTAGTATATTAGAATCACATGGAGCAGTCATTTTGTTAAGTAATGATGTAAGGATACCACACGGTTTCTGTGTGATACCAAAAAAACTTGTTTTCTCATTTCTATTTCTGTCATGTCAGATAGCCTCTATTAGAATATTTAAAGTTCTTGTGGATCATTATGTCAATACTGAACAATGAGATAAGTGTTGGTAATTTTAGGGGAAATCAGCAAATGGTGACAATCTTGACCTTATTTAGATTTTTCATTCTTGATTGATCTGGCTACTACTGGCATGATTATTGGTGCAAGGAGATTGTACTAATGCTTGGTGTAGTCATCAAGCTCCTTTTTCTGGCTTTTGCTCCATTTTTGAAATTCTAGGAAGTTAACGATTGCTGGTTAGGAAATCAGAGAATTTGGTGATTTTTTGAAGCCTTTTTGGTAGTAAAAAGCTGTATTTTGGCGCATTATATGTGTCAAAGACAAGGAAATGGGAGGGATATAGCACCGCTTGATATTGTGGGAGCGTATGATGAGATTTAAAAAAAAAAAAAAAAAATCTGCTTGTTCACTTACAACCTTAGCGTGTATTGTGGGAGCATGATGAGATTTGAAATTTTTTTCTGCTAGTTCACATAGATCCTTCAGGTGGGGTCATATGATTAGTTTTGTAAATTTTTCTGCTAGTTCACATACAACCTTCAGGCTGGTCAAAGTTTCAAAACTATCATGATATTGAAGATGTAAAGTTGTGCACTTATTGGATCTGGTGTTGTACCCATTGTACTTCAATTTTGGGTAATAATAGAAGTCATGACTGTTGACTGTATGTTATTCTAAGTTCTGTATACCAAATAATTGATCCATAATACGTATCTTTTTCTAATTAGTTTTCTAACATTGTGAAGCATTGCTTTCATAAGGCCTGACATAATTGATGAATCCATGCTAAACTAACCTTAGCAACTTCTAAAAATGCCATTGTCGCTTAGAGTTGCACTTATTTAAATAAAACTGCTTCATTTTATAGCCAAAAAATTGATATAATACTGATGGTGTCTGATGCAGAACCAGATAAGCGTCAACAACTTGATTGGAAGAAACGGTATGAAGTTATAGCAGGTGTAGCTAAAGGATTGCTTTACCTTCATGAAGACTCACATAGTTGTATCATTCACCGTGACATCAAGGCTAGTAATATCTTACTTGATGATAAATGGATCCCTAAAATTGCTGATTTTGGCATGGCTCGCCTCTTTCCTGAAGATCAAACACATGTGAATACTAGAGTTGCGGGTACCAAGTATGTCTTGCTATTATAGAGTTGTTTTCTCCCAATGTGGCAATGTTCTTGCTCTCTGACCTGCAGTTTGTTTGATTGAAACAGTGGTTATATGGCTCCAGAATATGTCATGCATGGGCATTTATCAGTGAAGGCCGATGTATTCAGTTTTGGAGTTTTGATTCTTGAGCTGATTAGTGGTCAGCGGAACTCTTCATACAATCTATCCCTTGATGCCCAAAATTTACTTGATTGGGTAAGTTATTGGTTTTACAAGTCAATCTATTTAACAAATTGTTCTCCGTATGATCCTTAATATTGGTTGTTTGTAGTTAGGTATTTTCTATCATATTTGTTGTTAGTTGTATTTGGTGTTTAGTAATAAATTAAAAAATGACGTTTTGTAATGTATTCAAATTATCAACTTAACTATGGTTTTGACAGCATGAAGCCATGAACTGACATAATTTTATATTGGTAGTACAAAACGTTTTATGTTTTAGATCAAAATCAATTAACTAAAGCTACTAATATTTTGGATTAGAGGGAGTTTTAGAATTGCCAATTCGACATCTATTAAGGAGTTTAATGACATATATGATATTCATTTTATTTAATTATGGGTATGAATCTGTCCCATTTTTATCTTGTGAATCATTGTATGCTGGGATGCATATGAGAAACTACGATCTCGGGTTTAAAGTAGAAACTGTTGTTTTTCTTCAGTGACGACGATTAATGAACCTAGGCTTTAGGATGCACCAAGAATTCAGCTGCATGCTGTTGCCAAAATCTGGTAGAGTTTCTTCACGCCTACAAAACTATTTTTATTCCAGCCAACCTTTTTGGACTTTCCTAGTCAATATTGCTCACCAGATAATCATTTGACCTAAATTTTGTAGATTATTTTTTTATATACAGTATGTTTTATTTTATATTTTTTTTTTTTTTTTTTTGGAAACCGTTTTATATCTTATTTGTGACAAAGTTTATTACGTGAGTTATTATGTGGGGATATGTTGGTACCTGGCTGCCGTCTACTTTTTGCATTCTTTGACGTCTGCATGATGTAGCAGAGTTCATTTCAATTTTTGCTTATTTTCAAGCTTGGTCATTGTCTCATTGATCAGGTAATCTCTTGAAAGATATGAGCCCTGTTTTCTTAAAATATACAAGTACTTCATCCGGTTTTTTTTATTTATTTTTAATCTATCATTTGGATTTCTTCATTATTCACACATCTCTAATTCTCTCACTAACCATATTTTGTTTTTTATGCGAAAAAAAGTAGTCGAATTTTATAAACTACTAAATATAGATTAAAGATAAAAAAAGTTTTTGCAGTGGTAAGCGTGAAACTCTATTGCAATTTTAAAATAAAAGGAGGTACTCTTTCCATTTCAAAATAATCTAACAAGTTTAGATAATCTAGCAACTACGGAGTATATTTATTTTATTTTGTGGGAAGGTGACAGGGTGATTCAGATTTGTGACTTCTGTTATGTAGTAAGAAATTTTTCCACAAATATTTATGGCCAAAATTGTATCTATTTGGATAATGTCAACGTAAATATTATATTGACGAGTCAACAGTCAAGTGGGGTATGGGGTTTTACTTGTCAATGTAAAGATTAATTTTAAAATAATGGCCACAAAATTATTTGTCAAAAACACCATTGGGAAGTCGGTCTTTAATGATATGCAGCATCATACCATACATTTCGATATTTTTAAATTGGCTTTCATACTGAACTTGCTAAAGAGTAAGGATGAGTAAAAGACGGGCTGATGAGCTCGAGCTTGTCATTGTATTGCCGTCTTTTTCATGTTTTTGATGTGTCAAGAGGGCTGGAATAGCAAAGTAAATGGTTAAGCCAAGGTTCTATAGAAACTTGGAAGTTGGAAGCGATACCAAATTGTGTACATTGCTACATTCCAACTACTGTAACCATCATAGTTATTTGCAGAAATAAAATGTTTAGTTGTTGACCACCACCATAATCGTATATATCCTCTGTTCATTTCTTATATACTGGAAAATGCGGGCAAAATATTAAACATTACAGTGTAAAAACTACAATGTTAACTCCTGTGTAAAATATAATAGGGTAAATTTTGGTTTGGCAGGCGTACAAGCTTTTCAAAAAAAGCAGAAGTCTGGAAGTTCTGGACCAATCAATAAAAAGCACGGCAGATGAAGATCAAGTAGCTCTATGCGTTCAAATAGGGCTGTTATGCACACAATCGGATCCTAATTTAAGGCCATCAATGCGTCGTGTAGTGGTTTTGTTATCAAGGAAACCAACGAGCCTGGAAGAACCAACCAGGCCAGGCTTCCCTGGATCAAGATATCGGAGGTCACGGAATCCAGGTGGATCATCCTCTCATACTGCATCTTCGGGTGCATCTTCCACAACTAGAACAGATCACACCTCCAGTACGATGAGTGTTACCAACACCACCACCCATACTGCTAGGAGTTTAGGTTCAGATCCTCGTGGTAAACGGCCTATGCAACCGAGTGAATAATAATTTTCGAGGATAAATTAGAAGAATGATTAGGAGGGGGTTTGTGATTCTTTTAAAACTTAGTACATAACAATTTGTTTGTATCCTTTGTTATTTTTTTGTAATGCCATCTAGGAATGTAAATGAAGATAGGTTGAAGGGAAGGTGGACTATAATCACTATATTGTTCATCGTGATCATAACAAGCTATGAAATTCATTAAATTTTCTTTTTTTTTCTCTTTTTTTTTTTTCCTTCTAGGTATATAGCTTTCATTTATTTTTTGAGGGAAGGTACATAACGAAATATGATTTGAAACTTGTTTTTTTGTTTTCTATTGGTAATGAAATTCCGAATCTCTAGAGTGACAACTTTTACTGATGAAAATTTTATAAATGCTTTTTACTCCCTCCATTTCATAATATATGTAGATAAAATTCCTGATATCAAAATATAATATTTTATATTTAATTAATTTAAACTTTAAAATCTCATTCGTCAATTTTGCTTACGTGTCAGTTAAATTTTTTAATTCTAAAAGAAATTAATAATATCGTATTTAATTGGCTACCATTAAAATTTATTATCCTACGTGGCGCGTTGAAAAAATTAAATCCTACGTGGCTCTCTAACTTTGGCGGAGATTGACCTATATTAATATTATTATTATCCGCAGGTAGTTTCAAATATATATATATATATATATATATATATATGTATATATATATACATATATGTATATATATATACATATATGTATATATATATACATATAAGTTTCATATACTATTTTGGGCATTGATGACACGACTCTAACTAAAGAAATTCCTACGACCTTAAATTATAAATTATGACTTATGCTTTCCCAAAAAAATAATAAAAAAAAAACTTAAATAAGGTAAAGCTAATTATGAATTATTTTGTACTTTAATCTTAGATTCCAAATTTTCTTCTTTTCTTTTTTTATGTGATTGATTCCATATGAGACTAAGGGTCTGTTCACTTTAGCTTAATTTCAATTCAGTTTTTTCAGCTTCAATCAGTTCAGTTCAGCCCAGCTCTTAATTTCCTTCAGCTTCAATCAGTTCTGTTCAGTTCATTTTAGATTAATAAATGTGAACATGCCTTAACATTATGAAATAGAGGGAGTAATAATTATTGTATTGATTTATAAGTAATTTTATAATATATTCCTAAATTAATAACAAGTTAGGGAAAGAAAGTAAAAAAAAAAAAATTGCTTAAAAAAAAAAAGATAAGAAAATAATAATAAAAAATAAAATTATATGCTTATCTACATCCGTAAAGGTCTACTTTTTTTTAATTGTCAAAAAGCTAATTTTTTTTTAAAAAAAAAAAATTAAATATCTGACTAAAGGTAAGGCATAAAGGACTAAAATCGAAAACTACTAGTATAGCTATAGTTTAGTGAAGGATAATAAATCTCCAACAACTTATTTTGGCTCTACTTGTGTTCTTTGCATTTTGGTTCTCGCACACCATTCAAATTTTATTTTCGATTTATTCAGGTGATTATTTTTGCTAGTAGTCTCCTGCAGTAAGTAAAGGAGATTGCACACAATTCCCAGTTTGCAGGAATTGGCCGCTTCTACAGTTTGTTTGGATAAAGAAAGGGAAGGGAAGGGAAAGGAAGGGAAGAATGGTGAGTTTTCCTTCCAAATCTCTCCATTGTTGGAAGAAATAATTTTCCACAATTTAATCCCTCCATTTCTCTCCCCTCCAATGCCATCCCTTCCTCATTTGCTATCCAAATAAAAGATACCCTATCTCTTCATTTCTCTTCCCTTCCTTTCCCTCCATTTCCTTCGATCCAAACACACCGCTAGAGTTCTAGGCATGTCATTGGCTTGGCTTGGAGAGCAAAGTTCGCCATACCAGAAGACCACCCTCCAATCCTTTCTTGCCATTTCCCATTCCTTTTGTGCTTTTGTCCCAGGCTCCATCAAGTTGAATTGAGTTTACTAAGGAGCCAAACTTAGACCATCCCATGCTTGCCATGGGAAACCCGGGGGGGGGGGGGGGGGGATGAGGGAGGGTAAAAGATTCATAATCCTCAATCCTTAGTGACAAGGTAACTCTTTTCAGAATTCTGTTTACTAGGATGTTAAAACCTCAATGCAATTATCTCATTTCTTTCTTAGCCAAATAGCTCATGTTGCAAGTCTTGCAACAAAGAGTAAGGCTTGATTACTAGTAGGTCCATCTTGGTTATAAAAGAACCGGATAAAGTGTCAAATCCATTTTCTAATTGGGATGTCTTCATTTACTTGTGAGCGGATGCTCAATAAACCAATTTGACATACCTTGTCAGCTGTACATGCCCTTAAAATGAAAACTGATTTCTTTAGACCTTTAGATATTGAGATAGCAGGTCACTCTGTCTTAAACCACAATTTGGCTTGAAAACTGATGGTGTATATCAATTCCAGAGGAACTTAATAACACTCATAAAACATTGTGGCATTAAAGCTCATCCCTAATCCAATAAAATACTTTCAAAATATCATATTTTTATAATTTCTTATAAAATTAACAGACAGATATAAAGGTATAAATGTACACCGACAAGAGTGAAATGCAAAAAATGAATGTATAGTTGAAAAGAGATGGAAAGCCAGCCTCAGCCTCAGCCTCTCAATTGACAAATCATGTCACGAATTATGATGCAACATTGTGGCATTAATCACATCACTACAATGGAGATTGAAACAATGAGTAAGCATAAAAATCAAATGCTGAATATTCTAAAAGTGCAGATGTCCATGAAACATTCCTAACAGCTAGATGCAGAAAAAAAAAAAAAAAAACATCCATAAATTTCCATCCCAAGTCATAGTGCAACACATACTAAATCCGCCAAGAAACACGCCAAATCCACAAAGGCTTAGTCACATGTGCACACATTTTAATCAGAATACATCTCCAGACGACCACCAAAAGTGATTTTTCTATGCAAACATATAAGCCAAAATTCAAAAAACCGCTCCAGATCTCATATTGGCTTGATTTTGAAGTGAAGTGAGATAAGTGAGAATACAAAACACTTCAAGTCCTGCATGAACAATGAGGCAAAAGTTCAGAATTACATAAGTTTTGCACAAAGATCACGCACACTAAGGATACGTACAAACACATTGAAAGACAAAAAATTGTTCACCAACACAGTAGTCAGCATTAAGGTCTTTGATTGCATCAAACACAAATCCTTCTATCCTCAGTCTATGCAGAACCAAACAAAAAGTCCACCGTGATTTATCTCCTGCAGGTACCAGAAAAATTTATTCCACCAGTCCACTCATTATGGTGTTCTGTGACTTCTGTCCACAAAATTCATCCCTTGATTTTTTCATTAAACGTAGGGTAAAACTCATCACCAAATCTGTCTTGGGCAAAAACTCATCACCAAATCTGTCTTGGGCAAGGGTAAAAAAGGGGAGGAGGTAGGACCTAACAGCATAATACTTTTTGCTTGAGTAGCAGAAACTAACCCAAGGTAAATGAAACAGATTTAACAGCCTATACTTTTTGCTATTGTGTTTAAGACTTAAAAGCCTATAAAATTTCTTTTTAATAAGCTAAGGCTCAAATGCTGTAAACAACATCAAAAGATAGCATCCCTGAAAAAAGGAAAAGAAATGGATCACCATCAAATAGGAGTTACATTTGCTTTGAGTCCAAGATATTTATTCAAGTGTTTTATGCCCATAACATTTTAGTTAAGTACTTAGGTTGGGATATGCTCCCAAAAGAGCCTTGCATGCAACAGAAACACTGAAAACTCAAATCACATCAATTGAGAATCTTATCTTTCTTCTCATATGACACCTCCTGCTTCCTACTCCTAACATTCCAATGGATGGATCTTTACACAGTGGCTTAAAACTAATATGAAATGCAAGGATTTGGTCAGGGACATGCGGTGGAACATTTTGTTTCCATCTTATTGTTTCAAGGTCTGGAGGAGTATACTTAGATCCTAGTGTCACCTCTAGCCCTTCCATTATCCTCCACTAAGCTGCTACTTTAGTTTACAAATTTATAGAAGCCGGTTAGTTTACCCACCCCTTTATCAATCCATATTCTGGAATCTTTTCTTGGTTACCGTGATTATGCACACATGCTAAATCCTAATGTGAACGTCGGATTTGCTGATATCTTGCGTGATTGAATGGGAGAGTAAAGTAGTGGATATTACAGAAAATGTTATGCTTTTAATGCCCTAGCAGCAGAATTATTCAGCATAAGAGCAGACCTTCTTGTAAAAAGTTTTGCACTGCATCAGATGGATTTTATCAGATTATACAAATGTGTCCATCTCCTCCAACATCAATCTTTGTTTCATAATAAGTATGGAGTACCACAATATCTCATATGAATGTAGGAAGCTATTCCAAAACTCCCAGACACTGAAGCTTACCCACATTATAGGGAAAAAAAAAATCAAATTGCAAATGCCATGGCCAAACATCATAGAACTATTTGTATAAATGAGAAAAGTGACTTGCACCAAATCTCTTGCTTTAGTATGGAACTTTATTCAGTAGAATGAAAATGGCTTAAGTAGCGGAACTATGTAGTTTGTATAATCATTAATGCATTGCATTCCTTTTTACCAAACAATTTAACATAAAAATATTAAAATCAAAACCATTTATTCAGCATATAGTATCTGTAGTGCTACGGTTCATTCAAACTGTTCTAACACAGGTATATGACTTTATTAATTATAAGCTCTAAAGCCTCTAATAGCTCACAGCAATGCCATATTGTTGCATTGTTGCTAGGACACCATAAGGACAAAACTTTGCTGCCTCAAAACAAAAAGCCTACCACTCCTATTTAAATGCAGCAACATTTCCACTTACAATCTCCAGTAGGCCATAATCTTGCTTATATTTAGTGTTGTACCACAATAAGCATACTAACTTACGGGTATTACGTCAAGTTATAAGGATTTTATCATGGATAGCCACACTGCGTGCATCTCACGCCCTAGTGATGATTACAATACAACCAATCAACTTTTGCTTTTTTACTTTGACGTTCCATAAACTTCATTCAAGAGAATAAAAACATAGAGCAAGAAATGCAAAATACAACAGATTCGTCATTCAAAGTGCGAGAACTAAAAAAATAAAAAAGACAGGAAGAAAGAAACAAGCAACAAGATACATATAAACAAATGATTTCCAAAAGCATAGTTCAAGGCAGGACAGCCATAACAAAAATAAAAACATGAACTATAATGATATAAGGAAAATTTGTCAAAAACAACCTTTTAAAGTGTCCACTTTATTTAAAACAACCTTTTAAATTTTTTTTTGCAATTTAAGACCACATTATAAATTTTTTTTATCAAAGACAACCAAATGTTACTTTCCGACGTTGACCACGAGTGTGCGAGTCACGTGACCTCCTACATTGCTTAATACACCCCTTTTTCCTCCAATTAACTCCTATTAAAACCTCTGCTTCTCTTTCATCCCTCTTTTAGTACGAGTGAATTGGAGTGAAAATTGGTGTATTAAGCAATATACGAGTTCATGTGCGTTGCACACTAGTGGTTAACATCGGGACAAATAGAGTCAAACGCCGGAAAGTAGCATTTGGTTGTCTTTGATAAAAAAAATTTATAATGTGGTCTGAAATTGCAAAAAAAAAATTTAAAAGGTTGTTTTAAATAAAGTGGACACTTTAAAAGGTTGATCTGACAAATTTTCCATGATATAATCTAAAGAAATCAGAAATCCTGACCTGAACGAGATAGTAAAAGATCCGAAGCCCTTCGGGATCTTTACTACTCTGGACATCAACAAGTGAACCGATTTTTGAAGTTGTAAATGAGATATGCTCATTGCCCATCACAATCTCCAGCTCTTGCCTCCCGATAACATCAGGTTCAGGCCATAGGTTATCATCTTCCTTCATAATCTACTTGAACAACATTTTGAAAAAAATTAAAAAATACTTCATAAAACTACAAGCACCATGTACTATCTTTTGCCCAAATGTTCATTAATCACCATTAAAGCAATCTTACACATCTCAAGAATCAAAAATACCTAACAAAAACACATGACACAATCCATTAAGTTTAAAAAGTGGGTGTTTAATGCATTAACAAACATATATACATTGACTGAACAAATCCAACAACCTATAAAGCCTAAAATAGTCTCTCTCTCTCTTTTTTTTTCTTTTTTTTATTTTTTTATTTTTTTGATTTTTTGAATAGCAAAGCCTAAAATAGTTAGATGACCTATGTTGCCATTATTGATTCCTTCGGGCTTCTACAGTTCTACTCAGTGCCGCTGACTTGTTACAAGCACATTGACCAACTATAACTCCAATAAAAAAAGAGTTAAGTTCTTAAGAAATAAAAATATGACCTGAAACAAACAGGGAATTTACCCAAAACCTGACAAACCTTGCAGCCTGTTTGACAATCTAGGTGCAAAATACTGGTATATCTTAACCACAATAAACCCGTGAAACCAACATGAGGCTTTTGTTGTCATTCCTGTTTGACGCTTTACATGAAAACAAGTATATTCAAACCATATCAAATTGCCCATATTCATTCATCGATTCAGGAAGAAATTGCAAAAATCAGGGCTTTCATGAAAATAGATATACTCGGACCATATCAAAGAACAAATTGCCTATGTTAATTCATAGTTCAATAAGAAATTGCAAAAACTAGGGCTTCCATGAAAAAAAAGTACACTCAAACCATATCAAATAAAAAATTAATCACATTTATTCATCATTCAGGAAGAAATTGCAACAATTAGGGATTCCATTACAAATTAGGGTTTCAAAATTCCAAAAAAAACAAACTTCCTCAAACAAATTAAAACCCAAAACCCTAAAAATATTTAACAAATAAAAGCGTTTATAAACAGACCTCGCTCTCAGAGATGATGCGACGGCATTCACGAAGAACTGCAGGAGTGAGGAAGACCTCCTTACGAATCATGGTGTCATTCTTGTAGTTGGAGTTGTTAGCATAGCGAAGTTTACCGTCAGGGCGAAACTCGAACTCAAGGAATTCATGACCGAATTTGCCTTTGTGACCGACGTAGTATCGAAGGTAGAACTCTCCAGCTTCTTCTTCTGCCATGGATGCTGCTTCTGGTGTTGGTTTGTCTCTGGAATTGGAGTTCAAATAAAAGGTGCGATTTTAACTCTTGGCCAGGTTGCGTTATTTACAACGGGGAGTAGTAAGGGGTAGAGGTGTCAATTTGCAACGGGGAGTAATAAGAGCATCTCTAATGACAAGCTACAACATATTGTCTTGCCACATCATATTTTTAAGCTACAAAGGTTTCAAGCTACAAAGTTCCACATTGGTTGGCTACAACATCTTGTAGCTTGCCTCATCAAACAATTGTTTTTTTTTTTATTTATTTATGTTTGATATTTTATTAAAATTATTAGATAATATAATCTAATCTAATATAATATATATAAATAAAGTAGGCATTTTTGGAGAGCATTGGGAGCGCCATGTAAGCAAAGGTAGATTTTGGACCAATGAAAAATTAGATTTCTATTTTATTTTAGAATTAAAAAATTCACTCGCCAACTAGATAAAAGTGACGAATTAGATTCGATATATCTCCAATTTTAATGCCATGTAAATAATTATAATGAATTAGATTCGATATATCTCCAATTTTAATGCCATGTAAATAATTATCTTATTTAATTGCATGATAATAATTATCTTTAGTTTAAATATCATATGATAGTAAACACCTACTACATTAAAATATAGAATTTTAGATGGTTAAAAACTATCTTCACCAAAAAGAGCCATGCATATCATATGATAAATCTTCACCAAAATAGGGCCGTGCATATCATATGGTATTAATCATTCATAATTTATCAATATATTCTATGATAATAAATATCATTATTAAATATCAATATAAGATGGCTGTAGCATCACCAACCTCGGTTTGAATTCTTCAAGCCACACTCCTCAGCCAATCATACCTCATTCTCACAAGCTCCGGACTCTTGCATTGGAATAAAATATATAATTTTATTTTCAATACAATACAATACAATATTATTTTCAATATTAGGATTTGATAATCATAACTATCAATATAAGATAATTTTTTTTTTTTAACAATAGCCCAATAATATAACTTAAAAATACTTATAACCCTATCTTAAAACATATCTACCATTATATGATAAATTTTTGTTACCTACCATTATAAATTGACGATCATACATCACCAACAAAATTTCGTATCAATACAAAACCAAATCAATCAAATTTTGTTCAATCAAATTTTATGTTAGTAATTGTGTCAGTTGTAGATCATCAATGGCTGGGTAATTCTTTGCTCTTTAAAAAAACAAATTATATTTGTATTTGTTATGTACATTGTATTTATTTTGGGATTTTTGTTTTTACATACAGATCAAATTTAATTAGACAATTAAATTCAAGCAAAAATGATTGGAAAATCAAAGTACGTGTTTCTCGCCTGTTTGACGTACTGAATTTTCGCAAACAAGATAGCTTAATAAGTTTGGATATGGTCCTATTGGACGAGGAGGTATTTCTTATAAAATATTACCTCTATTAATTTTTTTTATTAGAGGGATATTAAATTTTTAATTGAACCTCTTTAGTTTTTATTATAACTAATTAACTTAATTTCTTATTTTTAATAACAGGGTGATTACATTCACGCCTCAATCAAATCCAACTTTGTTCAACCCTTTCGTCCGAAATTGATTGAAGGAAAAGTTTACACCATTAGATACTTTTCAGTCGTTCCAAATAAGAATCAATATCGCATTGTCAGTGACAACAAAATAATGATTCAATTTTTTTCAAAACACTGTTGTGCGAGCTATTGGAGAGGATGAAAAAATACCAATGCATAGATTTGATTTTATATAATTACATTCTTTAGATCAATTTCGCAACAATTATTCACTTCCCGGTAAATATATTGGTTTATTTTATCTAAACGTATAGATTGTTTTATATCAATTTTATTTTTTCTAATATTTCAGTGTTGTATTTTTATGTTAGACGTAGTAGGTATGGTTGTAAACGAAATTGGTGATTCTATCGAAATAGAAGATAAATGGTATGATTGTTTTTTTTTTATAATTATTTTTACATAATTCTTCTTACGTATATTTATTATATTTATTTTATGTGTATCTAATATTTTTTTTTTTTGTAATTAGGGGAAAACGAGCTCAAATTAAGCTTTGGAATAAAGTTTTTACTGAGTATACAAAACAGAAAAACCAACTCAATGATTTCACTAAACCTTTTCCTATTATAATAACGTCAACGATGGTGAAAGAGTTTAATGGTAATTTTAGTTTATTGTTGTTTATTATTTTAATAATTATTTTTTAATTATTTTTCTATCTATTTATTTTTTATTATTACTTAATATGTAGGTAATTTTAATCTAACCTCTTCGTCATCGACCAAAATCTATACAAATGTAGAAGTTCCAGAGGTTCAGTTCTTAAAAGATATTTGGTAGTATGATTTCTATCTTTCAAAATTCTTATTTTGGTACATAGCGTATGCTTTTAACAATAAATTGATTGGTCCAAATTAAAGTTATAGTTTATATTTCTTAAGTAATTTTTTTTATTTTTTATTATAGTGAAAAAACAGAAAATAGTACTATTGGAAAACTTGAGATACAATGTACTTCTACGGACTCACAAGAAATTATCTCCAAGAAGATTGATATCTCAACTCTTATGAATCACATCCAAAAAACTGTTGAAAATGTATTATATTAAAAATGCTATTTCAATTATTTTGAATCAATATTTATAGATTTAATTTATATCATACAAAATAATTTCTAATAATTTTGTAAATATAGGATTTAATATTCTACTGTAAGGCTAAAGTGACTGATATTATGGGTGAGAATGGTTGGTATTATATCTCATGTCCGGTTTGTAAAAGACGAGTCACTCCAAGATTGGCGGATTTTTTATGCATCCTTTGCGAAAAATCAATTGAAAGACCAATACCAAGGTTAGACATCTATGAATAGTTTATAATTTAAATGTTAATCATATTTAATTTAATTAGCTATTGATTTTTTTATAAAATGCATATAGGTATCGTTTGGAGCTTGGTGTTGAAGATCATAGTGGTTCGACCATATTTGTTATATTTGATGAAGAAGCTAAGAAGTTAATTGGTCAAGATGGGAGTACTGTTTTTGAAGCTCATATATATGAAAAGGTTATCCTTTTTTAAAAACAATTATATATTATAATGATCATTCAAAATATTGATTATATAATATTATATTTATTGTAAAATCATCTTTTGCAGGCTAATAACAAAGATGATGCTAGCGATAATGACGCAGAATCAGAAATACCAATGATAATTAAAAATATCATTGGGAAAGAATTGATTTTTAAAGTTAAAATCACTGCATATAATCGTAAAACATTGCGACAAACCTTCACTGTGATGAAAATTTTTGAAACAATTATCCTTGAGGTATGTTTTAACTTTTTAAAATTATTAAAATTTTATTAAATTTTTCCAAAGAAATAATTGTTATACTAACTATTTCATATAAAGGATGACAAAGAAGCTACAACAAATAAAGATGAAGATACAAGTAAGGATGATGGAAAACGGACTCATAATGAATCTGATAGTAAAGATGATAAAGATTCAAGCAACAACACATTTAAAAAATCAAAGGTATCTATCTAATTTTTCTCAAAATTAGCTATTTTATTTTTAAAATAATATACTAATTAATTGTTTAAAAAATATATTTATATTGCAGGCTTAATTCCATGATCAACATAACAAGTTTCATAGTGCGAAGGGATATTCAAGCTTCGAAATTATCATCCATCCATTATGTAGTTTTTATATACTTCATTAAATAATCATTGGTTATTTTAGAATTTCATTATTAAGTTAGCCATTAGACTATTTAGCAATTTCTTCATATTGTTTTAAATTATTATGTACTCCAATATTTTAGATTTTACTTTTATAAGAGATCTTATACGTTTTATTATTAATTATAAATTTGAGGTATTAAAAATTTGATGTGCAACATTTAGTAGTGATATGAGTAATTTTTGTAATCCCATATCCTACTCAAAGTAAGCTCGCCACACCAAGGAAACGTAATTTGACAATTTGTATATACTCAAAGCAGTACAATAAGGCTGTCACCATTTTTAATTTATTTGACCGTTCAACCATAGTATATATTTTAAGATAAAAACTAAAAAGGTGAAAAAAATTAAAAGATAATCTATAATCTAATCCTAACCCAACTTTAATAAAATAAGTATCAAACTTAGATTTTTAATTTATAATCTATAATCTAATTCTAACCCAACTTTGATAAAATAAGTATCAAACTTAGATTTTTAATTTATAAGAGATCTTATACGTTTTATTATTACTATCATACTCTATAATCTAATCCTAACCCAACTTTAATAAAATAAGTATCAAACTTAGATTTTTAACTTTTATAAGAGATCTTATACGTTTTATTATTACTATCATATTTCGTGTATTGGAGATTGATATCTCAACTCTTATTTTTTACAACTAAATAAAAAAAAAAGAACGGGTAGTTCTCAACTTTAAAATAAAACCAAAGGAATTGATACCAATTTGCAATTGGTGAGAAACGTCAACGCGTCGGTATATGTAAATAGGAGAGGAAGTAGTTAGTGTAATAATAATGGATAAATTAGATAAAGAGGATGTTATTGTTTGGGCATCATTTTCGGTGAAGATACATCATACAATCATCCTACCCTTTTCATTTTTTTTCCTTCTATTGTAACATTATAGTTGCAGACTTATTACTTTTACCATCCATACATTCTCTTTTGGATTCATAAGTGCTTGACGAAATTAAAAGTTATCTTTTATCTTAAATTCAAAAGATAAAAATTTACTTTTTTTTTTTGTAAAGATATTACTCATAACTCTATATTCTAATAACCAACTTTAATAAAATTATCATACATATTTAAACCATAATTTTTATAAAATTACATATATGCAACTCAAGAAAGAACACAATCATCGTACAGTGAATTTACTCTAAGAGATACCATGAACCAAGATTTCATTAAAAAAGCTTTGCAAAGAGAAAGAAGGAAAAGGAGACGATTGATACTCAATGAGAAAAAAGCACGAAGACAACTGCATATAGGACCAGGTAATTAATATAAAACATAACTTGCTCTTTCTAATAAAATTAATCAACGTATTAATCTACTGTGACTTGATGTATTTGTAAAATTTTTTGTTAAGTAGAGAGGGGGGCAATGGGAATGTCGGGAAGTTGATACATTCATATTTTCCTTCAAATGGGCGTACAATGAGGATATTTAATATAGGAAGTTATTAAGAATTATCTAACAAAGGCCCATAAGGACAAGTGAAACATGCATGAACAGAACCAAACTCAGGTACAAGAATTTAAGAAGAACTTGGAAAGAGTCAGTTTCATTTAGTCTTTTAATTTTAATTTGGAAACTTTAAGAAAGGGTAATATAATAATATCATACAAAAAAAAAATTTAAGATAAAAACTAAAAAGGTGAAAAAAATTAAAAGATAATCTATAATCTAATCCTAACCCAACTTTAATAAAATAAGTATCAAACTTAGATTTTTAATTTATAATCTATAATCTAATCCTAACCCAACTTTGATAAAATAAGTATCAAACTTAGATTTTTAATTTATAAGAGATCTTATACGTTCTATTATTACTATCATACTCTATAATCAAATCCTAACCCAACTTTAATAAAATTTTTGATATATTTTTTGAAATAATCAATACAAGTGTTTCCATAAAAAAAATAACCAATTAATTAAAATAATCAATACAAGTGTTTCCATCAAAAAAAAATTTCCAAACAAATTAACAATAAAAATAATAATACAAAATAATAATAGTAATCATAATAATATTACAAAAAAAAAATTAAAAAAAAAATATAAACTAACCCGATGTACATGGAATATGGATTGGAATACAAAATATTAAATAAGATCAACAATAAAAAAAAATATGATAAAATTTATGTAAAAAAGATAATATTTATTGTATTTCCTTATAAATAGACATAAAACTATTTCATAATACATGCATCAACAATTAACCACACAATACGTAAAAATAATAATCATTGGTTTAATATCAAACCTACATGGCTTTACAATACCCTTTGCAAAACCTATTTGGTGAGAATATCCAACAACATCAACCACGGCTCAACATGATGAGGGATGCAATGGAAAACGAAGATACTGCGAGGACCGAAGATGGGAAAAGAACAATCTTGACACCAACATTCTTTGGAGACATAAGATACATGTACCAGAATTATATAAAAAGAATAGACACTACATACTACACACTTGAGATGGAAAAGGAGAATAGAGTAATTTTGCCTGCATCATTCACGGGAGGACCAAGATTCATACACCACAATTACATAAGCAAAATATACTCTCCATAGAGGAGATGAAGATAAAATCCGTATGAAACTAGCAGTTTTATTTCTAATTATGTTATTAATAAAAAGTAGTATTTAATAAGTTGAAATAATTATATTTTTTCTTTGTAAAGAATTGCAATATTATATCGACTAAATTAATAATTCATCTCTTCATTATTTTAAATGTAATAATTCATCTCTTCATTATTTTAAATGAATTTGATTAATAAATATTGAAGAAAATAATTAAAATAAAAAGCTATAAATAAACCCGTGCATCACATAATTAAAAATAATAATACAAAAAGTAAAAATAATTAGAAATAATAATAATAATAATAATAATAATAATAATAATAATAATAATAATAATAATAATAATCTATAAACTAACCCGTGCATCGCACGGGCTTCACACCTAGTATATATATATAAAGGGGAGTTTTTTCCCGAGTTTTTAGAGAGCCACGTAGGATCTAATTTTCTCAGCGCGCATGTAGGATTATAAATCTTAGTAGTAGCCAATTAAATAAGAGATTATTAATTTCTTTTAGAATTAAATAATTTAAATGCTATGTAAGCAAAATTGGCGAATGAGATTTTTAAGTTTAAATTAATTAAATATTATATATTATCTTTTAATATTAGGAATTTTATCTAAATATATAACAAATTTTAGGATCATAAATACAAAAAAAAAATATTATTTAAATAAAATCAAACAAACCGTGCATCGCACGGGATTCATCTAGTTATTTTTTATTTACTACTATATCATAGATATTGTAGATGTTTTTTTTATATAATATGTTTACCTTTTTAGTTCACAAATATATAATACCACTAAAAAAAAAGAAAAAAAAAATCTGATTCAGAAAAAGTAAAATGTTAAATGAAATGTTTTAACGTTTTGCATATTAATCTAATTCACTATGATTATTATGTGTGATTATATATAAAAATAAATATAGTCATGTGGGTACTTGTTGGAATCGTCTAAATGAATAATTTATTTATATTCAATTGTTCTAATTTTTATTTATTGATAATTAAAGATATTTTCAGTTAAATTTTTGCATTGGCATGGTGTACAAGGATAACATTCCTTTTAAACATTGTAGGATCCCACTGAAACAAACTAGGGTATGCTATATAGGGCAAATTGCAAGGTAACACTCACACAATGAAGGGATCTACTAAAACATTTTAGGGTTCCATTAAAATAATGTAGGGTTCTATTGTAATGAAGTGTAGAACTCTTTGAATATGTTTGTAGGGTTATACTTGTACAATGAAGGGTTCTACTACTAAAATAATGCAGGGTTCTAATGAAACAATGAAGGCTACAATTCTCCGATTGTGTTTAGAGTACATTTAATTAATGTACCAATTAACAAGTGTGATATGATTATGTTTTTGTGGGTAAGAAGTTAATTAAAACCAGTAAATATCTTAAGAATGTTGATATAGTTGTATTAAACATAGAAAATAAAAATATCTTAAGAATATTGAGAGAATGAACAAACATGTTGTTTGTGTTTGGACCATCAAGCTTGATATGAAAATATGTTAGATTATATATTACAAGCAATTATCTCTTGATCTAACTTGTTGATTGGAATATTTAAGATTTATGTTAATTATAAAGTTCATGAAAAAATGTTAAACTTGAAGCTATTGAACATTATTCATTGAAGGTATTGTTCATTGTTTTTTGGTTTTGGTTCAACTTAAAAAGGAATGAAGGGTACAAATCTTTACCCTAAATTAGAAGGGTTCCATTAAAGTATAGGAGGGTTCCTTTGAAACAATCAAGGTTACAACTCTTTACACTTAACTGGAAGGGATCCACTAAATTATCATAAGGTATCTACTGAAATATAGTATGGTTTCATTGAAACAATGAAGGGTACAATTGTTTAGACTATAATTGGAAGGGATTCACTAAATTATCATAAGGGTTCTACTGAAACACTATAAGGTTCCATTGAAATAATGAAGGGTGCATCTCCTTATATTGAATTGGAAGGGTTCCATTAGATTATTGTAAGGTTCTACTAAAACCCCATAGGATTCCATTGAAACAGTTAAGGGTACAACTGTATAGACCGCTTTAGATACAGTCTCTAGTAAGCGGTCTCTTTAGCAAAGAAACTGCTTTATTAGAGGCGATTCCTAGAATTAAAAAAAAATTGAGACTACCTGTTTAAGATATGCCTAATTATGATAGGGAATAGGGAGTCTATTTTTTCAGAAAATGGAGACCGCCTATTTAAGATAGGCAATTTTTTTTAGAAAGCTAAGATTGCCTATTTAACTTAACGAGTCTTTATGGTCTTAACTTAGCTGATTTGATTTAATCTTTGTAAAAATTATATTATTAAATCCAAATAAAAATACAATTCATCCTTATCATTTAATTGACATTTATACATGTAACTTGTAATAAATTGTAATATTTAGATTACATAGATTTATACTTCTAAAATCCATCTCCTCCAAACCCTTCCTCTTTCCCATTTGACATTAGCACAGAAAACGGTTGCAGATGCGCTATTTTTAGAGCTATAGAGGTGCTAAATAGCGTCGTAAGTACTTATACCTACGCTAGGGAAAGTGTCGGCTTGGCTAAACTCTATCACGACGCTATTTGTTCGTGTCGGTATAACAAGAAAAATACATTATCTTATATATTTCTACAAATGACACAAGTCATAAATTATCTCATTCAGAGGTGCTACAATTAGTATTACAAATAGCATGTATTATGTAGAAATACAAGTTCCATCTCCAAAGTTTGGTAGTTGATTGCACTTTTCATACTGGTGTAACATCAGTTCATCACCCAAAGTCAAGTACTCCTTTTCTCTTTCACAATATATTACAATCTTCCACTTGTGCATATGCTTTATTCTACATATAAAGAGGCATAAAAATGTAACTTACATAAACTTGCATACTCATCAAACACCTAAGTAAATAGCAAGAATTTATATGCTTCAAGGCAAAAATAAAATGACAATGATTATATACTTGTACAAAGTCAATCATAATAAAATATAATGTGGCCAAATCAATATAGAATAAATTGGAACGGTAATAGATTATCAAAGTTTTCACTTTGATTATTTAAAAAAAAAAAAAAACTCACTACAAGCAAAGAAACCAAGACATTATTGACAAGTGAAGTCACTTACAGTACCAGTTACTGTAGGGAATATTTCAAGCATTAACCCCTAGCTTGAACCCCACTGTGATCATACACTAAAGTACGGTGGAGTCCAAAGGGAAAGAAGATAGAGCAAAAGAGTTGCCAACAAGTTTTTTAGGAACTTGTAAACCGTTCACGAGGTGAAGGTTACACCCCTTAACGATCTAGGAGATTGTCAACTCCATAAGGTCTTGAACTAAATAGGGTTCGGGGATGAAGGTACAAATCCAACCTAAAAGAGATTGAACCTGCCCTAATAATAGGCCTCTACTTTATTCTTATCGTATTCATGTGCGCTTTCTGACTAACATGCAATCAATAGGATTACCCTAAACCTGTTTATCTATGTTGGTTGAATATTAATGCACAAATAAATCTATTATTGGCGATCACTTGAATTATAATCATATTAACCCTAAACAAGGTTATTAATTATCTTATTAAGCGTGATTACAAATACAAATTCCCTTTAAACATGTATAAAAGGTGATCAAGCAATAACAATAAATATGATATCAAGCAACATAATAATAATTCAAAATAATAATCATAATGATAATCATAATCATAATAATTAAAATAATCATGAATCATGTTAAAGCATAATAATAGCAAGATCCTAGGCATGATACTAACAAGATTAATAACAAACCCTAGCATGTCACTAAGCATTAATGATCAAATATTTAACCCTAACATGATACTAACGATCATAAATATTAGGAAAGAAAGTAGGAAGCATCACAATTGTCATATTTAATATTAAAGTTACCCTAAACATGATACTAGGAAGATCAAAACACCCTAACATGACGCTAGGAATCATAATAACAACCTAGACATGATTCCCATATCATAATATCAATAAAACCATTAAAGCACTTACTTGGATTCCTCGTATCTCTTTCTAATAAGAAAATACACACGTTAGTAACTTCAAGGAAAATAATAAACAACAAAGAATTAAATTAAATAATTGAAATAAAGATTTGGGACCAAACCCTCAGAAATTAAACCTTTCACGTCGAGGGCGAAGGCAACTTCGAATATGGCTAGATGTTTCTAAGTCTAATGAATGCGGAATTTTTATATTTGAGAGAAGGCTAGTTTAGAAAAGAGAGAGAGAGAGAGAGTAATCAAGAGATTCTTGATGAGAGTTGGTGAATCAAAACGGAGTTTTTAGAAGGCTATTTATAAAGAAAATCAACCAAAAAGATAAAAAATCAAAACAGAGTTCTGACGCGTAAAACGAAGGTTAGCTCCAGACGCTGACATTAGCGCCAAACGCTAACGCTAGCGCCTGGCGCCAAGCTTAGCGTCAGGCGCTAAGGCTGGCGTTTGGCGCTTACTAAGAAATCGACGCGTTTTCTTAAAATCAGATAGAAATTGCCGTATAGGAGGATAAAATCGTATTTTCCTCAAAAACGTTCTTTTATTCTAATTAAAACTCTAAAAGTCAACAAAAGTCAATTGATCAATGCTAATTAAATTAGGAATGAAAAGAACCTTCTAGAAGAGTCTAGAAGACAAAAACCATTCCTAATTGCATTAGGAATGATAAATCTATATTAGGCCCTCCTCTAGATCATTGGGCCGCATATAAGGCTCAAACAGGGCCCAGTTCAGTAAATTGGCCATAACTTCCTCAATATTCATCGGAATTGGGCTTATAATATATCGTTGGAAAGGTCTTGCTAATGTAGACACCCATTTGTGTCTCCCCAAAACCAAACCCAGTGATGAGTAACTTTCACGTCGAATCATAATCGAATGAAGTGAAAGTGTGGAAAGTTTAGTGTTGCGGAAAGTTTTAATTTCTTTTCTTTTCTCTCTGTTTTTGAAAACCTATTTTGAGAAAACAGCCAATCCAGTTTGGTTGGTCCATGATATAGGTCCAATAATAGTGTAGTTGGATAGGGTTTGAAAAGAGCTTTCCAACGATATATTATAAGCCCAATTCCGATGAATATTGAGGAAGTTATGACCAAATTACTGAAGTGGGCCCGGTTTGAGCCTTATATGCGGCCCAATGATGTAGAGGAGGGCCTAATATGGATTTATCATTCCTAATGCAATTAGGAATGGTTTTAGTCTTCTAGATTCTTCTAGAAGGTTCTTTTCATTCCTAATTCAATTAGTATTGATAAATTGACTTTTGTTGACTTTTTAGAGTTTTAATCAGAATCAAAGAACATTTTTAAGGAAAATACGATTTTATCCTCCTGTACGGCAATTTCTATTTGATTTTAAGAAAACGCGTGAATTTCCGAGTAAGCGCCAAACGCCAGCTGTAGCGCTTGACGCTACGCTTGGCGCTAGCCTTAGCGTCTGGCGCTAAGGTTAGCGTTTGGCGCTAATTCCCGTTTTACGCGTCAGATCTCTGTTTTGATGTTTTATCTTTTTTGGCTGATTTTCTTTATAAATAGCGTTCTAAAAACTCCGTTTTAAATCATCAATTCTTATTCTCACCAATTCTCTCTAATTTTCACCAACTCTCATCAAGATTCTCTTGCTTACTTTCTCTCTATCTCTCTTTTCTAAACTAGCCTTCTCTCAAATACAAAATTCCGTATTTATTAGATTTAGATACACCTAGCCATATTCGAAGTTGCCTTCGCCCTAGACGTGAAAGGTTTAATTTCTGAGGGTTTGGTCCCAAATCTCTCTTTTCAATTATTTAATTTAATTGTTTTGTTTATTATTTTCCTTGAAGTTACTAACGTGTGTATTTTGTTATTAGAAAGAGGTACGAGGCATCAAAGTAAGTACTGTAATGGTTTTAATTGTTATGATGTAGAAATCATGCTTAGGTTGTTATTATGATATTCCTAGTATCATGTCTAGGGTAACTTTAATATCAAGTATGATTAAAAGTATGATGCTTCCTATGTTCTTCCTAATATCTATGATTGTTAGTATCATGTTAGGGTTAAATATATGATTTTTATTGTTTAGTGACATGCTAGGGTTTGTTCTTAATCTTGTTAGTATCATGCCTAGGATCTTGCTATTATCACTAGTGGAAAAAGTTTCATTTGTAACGGGTTATTTGTAACGGGCAAAGCTATGCCCGTTACATTAAATACATTCGTAACGGGCAAAATATTGTCCGTTACGAATAAATATTTATTCTTAACGGACAATATTTTGCCCGTTACAAATAATATAGTATTCGTAACGGACACATGATGTCCGTGACAAATAAATATTTATTCGTAACGGACATCATGTATCCGTTACGAATATTTAGACCAGCTGAAAAGAGGAGCCCATGAAAAGAGGAGCCCATGACTAATTATTAGGGTTTCACACTCCTAATCCTAGCCGTCAAACACCCAAATCCCCATTCTTTCCTCTTTCCTCTCTCATTTTGCTAACTCAATCTCTCTCTTCTACGACTCAATTCACTTAATCTCATCCATTTCACCACCCTAATTCCTTTATTCTCTTGTTTGTTAGAGTCTTTAGAATGTCTGAAGGACTATTACTCCCTCTACACCGTCGACGGCGGCGAAAAGGCCGTCATCTTCGACCGTTTTTGCGGAGTTCTCGATGAAATTGTCGGCAAAGGTACTCATGTCCGAATTCCATGGCTCCAGAAGCCTTACACCTTCGATGTTCGTACTCGACCTCACAATTTTTCATCAATTTTTGGTACTAAGGATCTTCAGATGGTGAATCTTACTCTTAGGGTTTTGTCTCATCCTGATCAGAATCGTCTTCCTCATATTTTTCAGACTCTTAGGGTCCGTCATCAGATTGGAGTATGATGAGAAGGTTCTTCCTTCTATTGGTCTTGTCCGAGACAGCTTGATTAAGAGGTATTCATTTTGTTTTTTCTAGTAATTTTTTTTTCTAGAGATCTTGAGTTAGGGTTTTATTCAACGCATAAATTGTTTCTTGGTTTTTTTTATTTTTATAATTTGAATATTTTGGTGTTAAATTTGTCATAAAGATGCATTTAGTAGGAATTTTATGCTATTGTTGTTGTTTTCCTTGATTATTATGTTGCAGTAGTTAGTTGATTGTGTAGTTGAAGTTATGACTTGTACATTTTGATTGATCCTGAGACTAGCTGTGTGTTTGTTGCGAACATTTTGACTGCGCTACTGTGTGTATTTTATTCTTTGACTTTGTTTTGCTCGGATTCTAGGGTTTTTGTCAGTTTTTTTGTATGATAATGATGGCTCTTTCGATTTCTGCTGCGATTCCCCTCTTTTTATTGTGTTTTAGTCTGATTTCTATTTTTCGTTTTTTTTTGTTTTTTGTTTTGTTTTTATTCCTGATAATATGGTTAGGGATTTCAGTTGAATATGAATATGACTAGTTTTTTTTTTTTATTTTTTATTTTTTATTTTTTTTTATATATATAAAGTCCTCATTTTTTTGGTTGAGATTATTTTATTTTTCTTAGAAATCGATTGCCCTTATAGTTTTATGAGGGATTTTAGTTGCGTAGGAAATTAGTCAGCTAGATTTACAAGGTTTTGAAAGCATTTCGATTTGTTTGGAGAGTTGAATAATATAAGTGTTGTTATTTATTGTGTTAATTAGCATGTTTTTGGAAAGTGTTGTTTATGGGAAACAATATATACAAGTACATTCATTTGTTTATGCTGTATGTTATTGATGTTCGATGAAATCCAACTGTGGGAATTGGTTTCCTATGTTCAAATGTTTTCCTGCGAGTTCTCTTAGTTAGATATCAGAGAAGCTACTATGTTCTATGATCCATCATTGATAATTCATGAAGGAGACAATGGCGTTGTATACATAACACTGAAGTCGCAATAAAGATACTTAATCCTGATAGCTTGCAGGGTAATGCAGAATTCAAACATGAGGTTAGAAAATTAATAACTACTCTTTATTTGTAATTAGAGATATTTTGTTCTGATGACCATTAACTATAAAATCATTTATGTGAAGAGTTTGGACTATTAAAGAATTTTTGGAGAAACTTCTTTGATTGTACTACACTATTATTGAATGTATGTAGCGAATAGATCATAAGCATAGTAATATTAGTAAAACACTTATGAACTGTTGCTTACCTCGTTTGCGTAATTTGTACTTTGCTTGTAGTTTGATGTATTAAGCAAGTTGCGCCATCCAAACCTGGTGAGTCTCATTGGTGCATGCCATGACTCCTTGGCTCTCATCTATCAAGTATCTTCCTAATGGAAATCTTGAAGACCGACTGAATTACAAAGACAACACTTCCCTGTTACCATGGTAAACAAGAATTCGGGTAGTCATTGAATTGTGCTCAGCCCTTAACTTCCTGCATTCTATCCAACCTTGCAGCATTTTACACAGTGATTTAAAACTAAAAAATATACTTCTGGACGCCAATTTCAGCTGCAAGCTCAGTGGATTCAGTTTCTGCCATATTATCTCTAACAACAAGCAGACTCTCACAACTAATGAATTAATGGGAAGAAGCTTGAGGATATTGTTCCATCTTCTCACAATTGTGATGTATGGCCCTATCCATGTCTTCTTTCTTCTTTATACTGCCCTTTTCTTGAACTAAATGGAATTCATCTATGTTTTGCAGGCTTCCCATGTCACTCGTACTGATTATCAGCTCCTTGACATAACTGAGGACGGTTTTGTAAGTATACTAGTCGCTAATGTGATTTTATTTGGCTTTGTTCTCCAATGCTTCATCTGATGTCATTTGTTAGCATGAAAATCAAGTGGGATGTATCATGTGCACTATTTTTTGTTTTTCTTTTAATGGTAAACCGAACATGCAATTAATGAAGTTTTGGATATATGTTACTTTCCTTTCCTTAGATCACCTTGCCTATAAATTCTGGGTTTATATTCTTGTTCATACTCTCATTTCTTAAGAGAAAAAGAGTCGTTTATGCAACTATAGAGCATGATTTATGAAATCTTTTATATATCTCTAACTTGGGGTTCGGGTTTGATGTGCAGGGGAGCGAATTTTGGATAAGGCTAGAAAAAATCTGGTTATCATGGCGATGCAAGTTTGGGTATGGTGACGAGTAAGCCGAGAGTACGACAAGAAATGCTATTGAGATCTTCTCCGGCGGCTTCAATAGTTCAGTGTGGAATACACGGCTTCAATAGCAATTAGCAAGTGCATAACTTGTTTTTAATTTCTTTAATTGATAAAATCATTTGAATGTATGGCTTTTGTTAATTGTATTTGAAGTGTATACTTGTATAAATTATTATTTAATATTATTTATTTTTTGTAATTGATAAAATCATTAACCAAACTAAGCTATCCACTGTCTAGCATATGCTGAATTTTTTTTTAATTAGGACAAACACTATTTGTAACGGGCAGATAATATGCCCGTTACTATCAACCCGTTTCTTGTAACGGGCAAAACATGTGTCTGTTACATATAACGGGGTTATTTGTAACGGGCAGTACATTTATCCGTTACAAATAACCCCGTTATTCATAACGGACACCTGAAATGTCCGTTACAAATAAGGGGTTATTCGTAACGGACAATTTCAAATGTCCGTTACGAATAACGGGTTATTCGTAACGGACATTTCAATTGTCCGTTACGAATAACCCGTTATTCGTAACGGACATTTGAAACATCCGTTACGAATAATGGGTTATTCGTAACAGACAGTGCCCGTTACGAATAATGATGGCCATCCGTAACGGCCGCATACGTAACGGACGCTGCCCGTTACGGATGAGCCCTTTTTGCCCGTTACGGATGGCCTTTTGTCCACTAGTGTATTATGCTTTAACATGATTATTATAATTGTTATTATGATGATTTTTATTATGTTGCTTGATGCTTATTTATTGTTATTGCTTGATCACACCTTTATGCATGTTTAAAGGGAATTTGTACTTGTAATCACGCTTAATAAGATAATTAATAATCTTGTTTAGGGTTAATATGATTATAATTCAAGTGATCTCCAATAATAGATTTATTTGTGCATTATATTCAACCAACATAGATAAACAGTTTTAGGGTAAACCTATTGATTGCATGTTAGTCAGAAAGCGCACATGAATACGATCTGAATAAAGTAGAGGCCTATTATTAGGGCAGGTTCAATCTCTTTTAGGTTGGATTTGTACCTTCATCCCCGAACTACCAGTCATGGTTCCAGACCTATTGGAGTTAACGATCTCTTGGATCGTTAAGGGGTGTAACCTTCACCCTATGAACGGTTTACAAGTTCCTAAAAACTTGTTGGCGACTCTTTTGCTCTATCTTCTTTCCCTTTGGACGCCACCGTACTTTAGTGTATGATCACAGTGGGGTTCAAGCTAAGGGATTAACGCTTGAAATATTCCCTACAGTTTTTGGCGACTCCACTGGAGAGGATTTCTATTTTAATTCCTGAATTTGTTTCGGCAATGATTTAGAATGAGTGGATGAGACTCGAAACGTTCTAAGTATTTCATGTGCGTAAAAAAAAGATCTCATTGGAAAGACCATCCGTAATGAGTTAAAACATAGGATTTTACACGTAGGAAATTTGAGGAATATATTTCACAACTAAGACCGAAATAACACTGCGCGAAATTGGAAAATTTTATCGAGCACAGAAAGCTGCTGAGGCATGTAGGAATTTGCGTCAGCGAACAGAATATTAGCCCCAGACATTTAACTGTAGTGCCAAACGACAGTTCTGTCGCCAGGCACTACAGCTAAAACCTGGCGCCAATCTCTGTTTGCTGGCGCCAAATTCTTCCAATACCGAGCTAGAAATATGCATAATTTCGACCAGTTTTTCGCATTGTTTGCTCGATCCTACTTCCTGATTGAGTTTTTCTCACTTTTCTAAAACCCATATGTGTTCTACATATGGACATAACCCTCTGGGAATTCATGCTCCATCTACCTGATTGAACGCTCTGAGCAACAAAGGGTACATCCGAGATTGTTGAATTCACCAAACCATGGAAGCGAGTTTTTTCTAAAAACTCGCGGTGTCCCATCCACTCGTGCCAACCCTTCACTGTTAGGCTTCCGCGCGGTGCATCCGGAAAATTAACCATGGACCCTCTATTGACTAAACCATATCCTGAACTTTAGAGAACTAGAGCCATGGTTAAGTTGCAAACTCATTGCATCATATTGTGTCTACTTGACTAATTGTGCATTATTTGTTGTGCATACTCTATGTGATTTTTCCTAACCATTTGTTTGACTTGTGTTAAGACTAAATAAACTAATTAATAATTAAAGGACTTTTCTTAATTAATTAATTAATTAATTTTGGTAATTAGAGTCTAATAATCTAATCAGAGTTGACTTAGTACGACTCTAGGCATACCCCTATTGAGTAATAATACCGAAAGCAGCTCCAGATCAACGTTCCAGCACTGGCGCCGAGATTTGGACTGCAGCGCCACTATGAGGAGTGTAGCGCCTGGCGACAACTCTGTCATCTGGCGCTACACTACATAGTGTGGCGCCAGTCCTGTCGTTTTGGCGACAGTTCGATTTATTGCTCGAGTCATCACCTTGTGTCTAATTAAACAGTTTGCTAATTAATTCTGTTAGTCATACCTTGTTAAGTCATTAATTGAGTCTAGTCACATAGTCTAGCCACGTGGTCATGACATGAGTCTTAACATATCACCTACACTCACTAGTCTTAGCACACACTTCGAGTATATGTCACCATGACCATGTCTTAGGTTCATGCATGAGTCGATCTTTTTCGTCATTTGAGTTGGGGGTACATTCTATTCCTAATTCTTAATATCCCTCCATCTACATCATTTTTCTTCACATTCTATTCCAATCTTTCTTCACTTCCTCCATCCATTGGATGTTGAATAAAGTTTGAGTCAAATAATTAACAATGAATATCCCCAAATTCCTTTTCCACAGTACTTGGTCGAGGAGAGAAGGGCGATTAATCAAGGACAACCTCTTTATTCAAGTCTCACTTTTTGATAAACCAATTCGTCAAAAGAGGAAGGCTAAAAAGATAATGGCAAGTCAAGAAGAGGTCAATGAACTTAGGAATCAATTGAAAGACGTGACTGAGGTGTTAAAGGCTTTAACCCTCAAAATTGATGACCCTGTGAAGCAACAACAAATGAACCTTATGCAAGAAAGTTTGAGCAAGCTATCTAGTGACAATAAATTTCAGGGCATTAGTTCACAAGGGGTCTCGCTGGACAAGGAACTTCTTCCGCATAAGTTCAACGCCACTGACATCCCTAAATTCAAGGCAACAGATAACCCTTACTTTCATCTAAGAGCTTTTAAACTATAATGAGCATTAAGGGTATCGATAAGAAGGTTTTCCCCTCTATGTTCTCACTATCTCTCGAGACCGTTTGCCAGCAATGGTTCTTTTCTCTCGAGAAAGAGAAAACCTCCACTTAGGAGTCCATAACAAATGCTTTCATAGATAGATATAAATGTAACATTGAAGACGAAACAGACCACAGACAACTCGAGATGTTAAAACAAAAAGAAAACGAAGGGTTCACTTCTTTCTTCAACAAATGGAAGGAAACTTTTGCTAATATGGTCAAGGCTCCTATCGAAAAAGAATATGTGAGGATGTTTATCAAGAATCTCCAAGGGAAGTATTCAAGGCACTTAAAGTACCAACACAACTTGAATACTTTCAAGGTTGTGTATAACATAGGCATTGACATTGAAGATGAACTTCTGAAAGATAATAGTGCGAGAGGAAAGAAGAACGACCATCCTTCTTCTTCCTCTCCCATTAATGAGGTACATGCCACGAACGCCTCTAAATCACGAATCCAAAGGTCAAAAAGAGTGTTCACTCCACTTGGTATGAGTTATGGAACAGCTTTCGAGAAGCTACATCACAAAGGACTAGTCATGCCCATGGGGCCCATCAAAGATCCAGTTCCAGAAGCCAGGCCACCCAAGTGGGACCCTAATAAGCACTGCAAATATCACCAAGGAAAGGGTCACGACACTGAGGAGTGTTGGAAACTCAAAGAAGCTATTCAAGATCTGATCAATAACAATGAAACTTCCGAAATTCTAGCCATCAAAGAAGATCAAGCATCTTTCGATCCATCACTTCTTATCACACCTGTAAGAGAGCCCATGATCGAGACAGCTTATATAACCTCTCTCGATGAAGTGGCCATGATTGGGGAGGATGAAAGTCTTTTCTTAGATAATACCAGGGAAGACTCGTCAAGTCTAAAAGAGGACGTTCGAAAACTGCAAGATGTTGTTGCCATGCTCTTGAACGTGGTAGAAGGATTAGCAAATCGGGTGATGGTCATCGAACAAAATTCTCGCCAAGGGCTTAATGAAGAACTCAATGCTCCTAAGCCACGGGAAAAACGAACCATTGAAGAATACACACCAATAGGAATGACTTACAATGAAGCTTTTGACTGTCTTCATGATCAAGGTCATATTCACTCCATTGGTCCCAGTCAAGACCCTCCACCTGAAAAACGTTTTCCCAATTGGGATCCAAATTCCTATTGTCGATACCATAGTGGTCGCGGTCACACTACCAAAAAATGTCTCGCCCTCAAGGATCGTGTTCAAGACTTCATTGATTCAAATCTCCTTCATGTTCCTCCGCGCGACAAGAAGGCCAAGATTAGTAACGATAGTAACAGTGGCTGTAAAGGGAAGAAGAACGACTATCCTTCTTCTTCCGAAAACACCTACTCTAGTAACAGTGTTGGTACTTTTAACCTTAATGAGATCTTAGCCATGGATAATCGAGGATTTAGAAAGCAACAAAAAAAGGATTTTATCCCTATTGGAATTAGCTACGATGATGCTTTCGATCGACTGCATGCCAAAGGACTCATTACTCCTATTGGACCTCTTCAAGATCCCCCGCTTGAGAAGAGGTTGCCTAGTTGGAATCCAAATGTGCGCTGCAAGTACCATCAAGGTAGGGGTCATGCTACTGAGAGATGTTGGAAGCTAAAGGAGGCTATCCAACATTTGATTGATAATAACAATCTTCCCATGCCTCCAGTTAATAAGAAGAGCGAGTGATGATAAAGAAAACAACACAAGACAAAGGCGAGCTTCAACGACAAAATTTCGTGACCTATTTATTTATTTTTATTTATCCTTTCCCCAATAAGTCTAGCATAGGCACCTTTCTTTTCCCTTAGATTAATTTTGTAGATTATTTTCTTTTTCCTTTTTAATAAAATGAGCATTTATTTTCTTGCATATGATCATTTCATTACATTGCATTAAACAAAAAGAAA